GATGCCGTCAGCGTAAATCGTGATGCCGACATCAGTGTTGAGCCCGTTCGCCTCGTTAGCTTCGGCATCTTGGTACGAGCTAGTGTTTGACCGATGTGATAAGTACGGCTGAACCCCCTTTTCAAATAGTAGTAAGGGAACGCTCGTGCAGGGTTAGGGTGTCCCATCATCTCTCCCATTGTCGGCCTCAGCGAAATCGATCCCGTCGAAGACTCGATCTATAGTGCCCCCTTGGATGGTCCGAGCGTGCTGAAAGCGGAGGTCCGAGGGGTGATTGAGGTCCCCGATCGTGTCCACAATAGTTTCTCTTTTTACACTAGCGAAGGCGTTCGTCGCATCCTCGTTCACAATGACGTGAGAAAAGGCCCTGCCGTTGAAGCCGAAACGACAAGCAAGTTTGGACAGCAATCGCATCTTCCCGACGCCTGTGTCTGGCAAACTCATGACAATAGTATGGAAGTTGCTCTGTGTCTCTGCGTCCACGGTGCCGACGATATGCGTTCCAGGATTTCCTAATCGGACAGGAAACATGAATACACCTCTGGCCCACTGGGCCGATCTTGCCGTTCTTTGTTGTCCAATCCCAGGCAATTGGAGATGTCAAAAAGAAGTGAAGTGCACATCGCGCGCAGCTCCCAGTGAGCTGGGGGGCTGTATAAGCTATGGCCTCCTTCGTGCTGGCGGCGAGAGAGAGATCCCAGACAGGATGAGCACGCCGACGTTAACAAATTCGGTTGGCAACTCTTGCGCACGCACGGCGCCCGTGATGTACATCTGGTTGTAGGTGACCACTCGAACATCCGCCTGCGGTGGGGGGGTGGCGCCGTGTGGTTCCACCTGCATCGCGTCCGACACGTCGACGGTCACGGCGAGAAGCCACCGTCTGGCGACGGCGCGCGCCCCCCCCTCTGCACGGTCAGGCGGAGCCCCAGAGAAGAGACAGCACCATTCCGCTGCACTCTTAAATGGGTACCCCTGTCAGTTTCAGTAGCCAGATCATGTGTGTATTTGGGACGCTGCAGCGGCTGGAGGAAATGGAGGAGGAGGAGGAGAAGTTTTGTTGCTAAGTTGCGTGGTCCAGTGGCGCTCAACGGGCACTGGGTCATTCAAAACACAGCTTGTGACGAGAAACCGGCCCGCAGCAGGTCCAGATTTCGAGGGGTCCACGTTATGAAACAAAAACACGGCGTCGTAGATTTTGGGAGGAGGAGGAGGAGGAGGAGGAGGAGGAGGACGAGCAATGCAGCATTGACTCTACGGCTATTGATCACCAAAGTCAGGTTTGCCAAACAAGCATGCAGAGCAGCAGAAGGAGGAGCAACGGGAGGAGCAGGAGGTAGGAGGAGGAGGAGGAGGAGGAGGAGGAGGAGGAGGAGAAGGGCGGCGGGGAGGAGAAGGAGGAGGAGGAGGAGAAGGAAGAGGAGGAGGGAGAGAAGGAGGAGGAAGAGGAGGACAGGGACCTCGCCCCCCCTTGAAAGTCGGCTACACTCAAGAGTGACCCTTCGCACGAGTGACCCTTGGGTTCGCGGGGGTCGCGGCGGGGCCGCGGTCCGAGCACGCAGGCCGCTGCCGCCGCGCCGCACGCAGCGATCGGCAGGCCGCCCACCAGAGGCCACGCCTGCCCGAGGCCGGGCGAAGAGAACCGTCCTGGCCCAGGCCCGTGCTGAGCCCAGGATCGTGTACGTGTAGATGTGTACGAATCACGTGTATATGGGTGTGCATCTATGCATATACCATACAGTGTACGGAAACGTCCACACATGTATATGGTGTATGCTTACGATATATGGCACATGGTTAACGATAGATGATAGATTCGTGGATGCACGTTTCTATGTATACTGTAATCGCTGCATACATAACAAACTTCGCCCTCTGCCGCGAGTCCCCTATTACTGGTGCGTGCGGTTGTGTGGATAGCGCCGTGGGTGCTTCTCGTGGCAGGCTTCTCGGCAGCGTCTGCGGGTCATTGTTGGAGCTTCTTGGAAGCCGTTTCGGAGATTCTTGGGGCATATGTTGGATCTCTTAGGGGTATCCTTGGGGCCTATTGGGGGCCTCTTGGGACCTTCTTGGGGCCTCCTGGGGCCCTCTCGGGGCGGAAAGGTAGAGTTGTTGGTTCGTGGGTTCCCTTTTGGGCCTCTCTTGGGACCGTCTTAGGGCCCTTTTGGGCCGTCTGGGGCGCCTCTTGGACCTTCTTGAGGCCCTCTTCGGCCGTCTTCTTTGGGCCGTTTTAGGGGCCTATGGGAGCTTCTAAGGCCGTCGTGGGGCAATCTTGGGAACCTCTTGGTCCGTCTCGGAGCGTCGGAAAGCCGAAAAGGCGAGAAGGCCAACAACCTTCAAAACGTTAGGCAAATCGTTGAATTTGGCTTCGTGGGGCCCTCTTGGAGGCCTCTTGGAGGCCTCTTGGGCAGTCTTGGCAGCATCTTGGGCCGTCTTGGGGCCATCGTGGGACAACTTGGGGCCATCTTGGCACGTCTTCGGCTCCTGAGGCTCTCTTCGGAGCCTCTTCGTGCAATCTTGGAGGACTCTGGGGCCGTTCTGGCAGCGCGGTGGCGTCACCACGAAAATCCTGGGATGGCCCGGGGCAGCCTGCATTTGAGGTTCACTTCCCGTCGTTGCCTGTTTGTGGTGCAGCCTCCCTGGTAGGGCCCCCTAGCAGACAGTAAACAGGAGGGAGGAAACAGGACTGGAGAGACAAAAAGCCAAACAACAAATGACAACACATGATACAAGACAGCATTCCGCACACACCTTCGCAGGGGGCCGGCGGATATATCTATATATATATATATATATGTCTATATATTTATATAGACATATCTATTCTAACATTTATATATATATATACATATAAATATATATATATATACATATATATATATATATATGTACACATGCATATGTATGTATATAGACACATAAGAGTAGCCATGGGGAGTGCTCGGAACCACGACCTCTGGTTTGCATGGGGGACCGGGGGGGCCTTGAGGGCTCCAAGAGGGCCCAGTAGGGGCCCCGGGTCCCCCCAAGAGGCCCCCAAGTTGGCCCAAGAGGCTCCCAAAGCGCCACAGGTTGCCTGGGAGATTGCTGAGCAGCGCATTGCGATGGCCTCACGACGGCCCACGAGCGCTCCAAGAGAGCCTATACTGCTCCTAGACGGCCACAAAGACCCTCAAGACGCTCCAAGAGGCTGCCGAGAGGGCCATCCAAGGGCAAAATCCCAAAAGTCAGATGGAAAAGCGCATAGTTTTTGGAATCTTTGTTTTTTAAGTCCTAACAGCGGCCACGTCGGCCCAAAAGTCGGCCCCAGACGGCCCAAGAGACCCCCAAGAGGGCCCCAAGACGGCCTGAAGAGAGCTTCAAGAAACACACAAGAATTCCAAGACGGCCCAAGAGAGTCCCCAGTGAGCCCCGAGTGGGCCGGCCACCGGAGGATCCCTACGTACATGGTCGGAAATGGCCCCACGAGGGCCCCAAGACGGGTTCAGCCCCCCATGGCGGGCCAAGAGGGACCCGCGACGGCCGAGACGGGCTCCCAAAAACCTAGACGACTTCCAAGGAAGGCCCAGAGATGTCCCAGAGACTCCCACAATGCTTCCAAAAGGCTCCCGGGAGGCGTCCCAGTAGGCCCCCAGCGTATGGCAGGTCTCGTGTCCACGTCCTGCAAGATCCGTTTCAGGGCTTCCCGAGGCTCCACAGAAACATGCTGCGGGGTGCCGGGAATTAACCAAAACATTCCGAACCTACGGTCGAGATCAGGGGTGTACCGCCATGGGCGGGAGGGCGGCATGCGCACGTTGGCTTTCGGAGTGTCGGTGGAGCTCCCACTGGGTCACGATCCGCGTGAGAAACCCAGTCGCCCTGGGGGGCGTGATTCCAATCCGTGTGATTGGTGCGTTGAGATGGGCGGAAGGACGCCGTCGTGGCCGTGGGGCTCATTGCTTCCCTCGGGGTTTCCCAGGAGCCTCCGTCGTGTCGTCGTCGTCGTGGTAGTCGTGACAGTCGTCGCCGCTGTCGTCGGCGCCGTTGTCGCCGCCGCTGCTCCCTTCGCCTGTCGCACCAGCCGACGCCACCGCTGGCTCCTCGTTGCTGTCGCCGCCGCCCGACTTGGCCGGCCCGGCGCGCCGGCACGGCCCGGCTCGGAGGCCCGGCTCGGGCCGCCCGCCGTGCCGGCACGGCCCGGCCCAGGGGCCCCGCTCGGCCGGGACGAGGGGGAGGAGAGAGGGGGAGGGGAACGGGGCCATGGGCGGGGAGGATGACGTCGAGAAGGAAGAGGTGGAGGAGGCTCGTTTGCCACGAGTGCGTCTCAGTGTTCGCCCGACAGGAGGGGAGGAGAGAGGGGGAAGGGAACGGGGCCATGGGCGGGGAGGATGACGTCGAGAAGGAAGAGGTGGAGGAGGCTCGTTTGCCACAAGTGCGTCTCAGTGCTCGCCCGACAGGAGGGGGTACGCGCGGTGGGCTTAGACCGTCGTGAGACAGGCTCGTGTCACCTTCCTGAGACACTCCTGCGGTGATGACAAGGAAGAGGGGGGAGGAGGAGGAGGAGGAGGAGGAGGAGGAGGAGGATCAGGAGGATCAGGAGGACGAGGAGGAGGACCAGAATGGGTGTCAGAAAAAGGTACCACGAGGATGCGTGGCTTGTGGCAGCCATGCTTTCGTAGCGACGTTGCGTTTTGATCATTCGATGCCGGCCGGCTGTTGCTACCACTGAGACGCGGAAGCCTCGAATTGTCTGATTGTTCGCCCAACAATAAAGAACATGCCCACCCGTTCTGTCGATTCAGCGTTCATCATGGTAGCGCGATGAATGCAATCCTCTTTCATCGGCCTAGAGGGCTATTCCGTCGCGTGCAGCCTCTTCGACGAGCATGGCCCCGCCCCCCCCCCGCCCCCGCGAGCACGCGACGCCCTCGCGCGCGGCGTCCTCGCCAGCTCGGCGCGCGCGAACATCGGGGGCGCGGCGCGGCGCGCGGCGCCCTCGCGCGCGCCCGGCCGGCGAGGACGCCGCGGCGCCGCCGCCGGGGCTCGCGGCGGCAGGCGCCTCTCTGCCGCCCCCGCGCCGCCCCGCCGGGAACGCTGCTCCACTGCCAGTTGGGCGGACGTCAACGGGGGGGGGGATCGAGGGCTGCAGGAAAGCGGGTCAAAAGAGCCCCCCTTTGGCGGGCGGTTGACGGGCCTGGAGGGCTTCTCCATGGTTTGTTTCAGAGCTTGTCGAGGACGCCTACGGCACATCACCGACGTGCCCTGTTTTTGTTGGAAGCGCCGGTGTCATCGAACGTTGTGGTCAAAGTTTGGACAAGCTATCGGACTATGTTCGAACGTTGTGGTCAAAGTTTGGACAAGCTATCGGACTATGTGTTTCCGCGGCTGCGGTGGAAACTATGCGGGGAACACTTAGGGGAGGATAGGGGGATATCACCATGAGAGGGAGGAGGAGGCAGAGTAGAAGGAGAAAACCATCTTGGGCGTATTTGAAGATTCTTGGGTCGTATTGGGGGTTTCTTGGCCCGTTTCGGGCCGTCGGAAGGCCCAAAAACAAACAAATGCCAAATTCAAATATGAAAGGAGAATCGAGCAGGTTGGCCTCTTCTGGCTTTCGTGGGGACCTCTTGGAGGCCTCTTTGGCCGTCTTTGAGTCGTGGGTCCTTGGGACCTCTTGGGCCGTCTTGGGCCATGTTGAGGCCATCTTGGACCATCTTGGGTGCATCTTGGGCCTTCTTGGGTGCATCTTGTGACCATCTTGGGCTCTGTTGGGGCCTCCCTCGCCGTCTTGGAGGCGCCTTGGGACCGTCTTGGAGGCCATCTTGGCCGTCTGGCTGAGATGGTGAGCGGATGTGTGGACTTTCCAGTCCTTGCGCGGCTCTGCGGGTAGTGGGCGGGAGAGGCCGAGATTCCATTTGGACGTTTCAAAATGAATCAGAACCGCACAAGCTTGGCACGCCGAGCGCCCATGTGGCAAACCACAGGGGGCCGCTGATCGAAGACGCCTACGGCGGATCACAGCCGCATCTTGCCTTTTGGGAGCGCCTTCATGTGGCCGAACGTTGCGGCCAGAGCATGGCCAAACTATCGGACTTGTGTTCACCCAGCCGTTGTAGCAACCTTGCGGGGAACACGCAGAAGAAGCCTCTCTGGGCCGATTCGAAGCCCCCTTGGGGTGCTTCAGGGCAGTCTTGGAGGCCATCTTGAGCGTCTTGGAGGAATCCTGGGCTGTCTTAGAGGTCTCCTGGGCCGTCTTCGGGGCCTCTTGGACCGTCCTGGGCCATCTTGAGCGCTGCATCTTCTGGCTTCTCTGGCCTTTTTGGAGACAGCTCGGGCCATCTTGGGATCTTGAGGCGATTATCGGCGTGCCTTGGAGACATCCCGGGGCCATCTTGGGCTCTCTTGGAGCCATCGTAGCCGTCTCGGATACCATGTTGGCCGTCTTGGGGACCATCTCGGGGCCGTCTGGAGCGGGAAGACCGACGACCTGGGAAGTTGATCGGCCCGCATGGGGCGGAAAGACACGGAATGCATTTGTCCTGGGTGGCCGCCGCGATCGGCTGAGACCCAATTTGGGAATGCTTTAAACACATCAGAATCTCTCACAAGCCTGGCACGCCGTGCACCCATGTGGCAGGGGGCGGCGGATCGCCTGCGTCGAATCACAGCCGCTTCTTGCTTTGCGCGTGGCGGCCAGAGCTCGGCCAAGCTATCGCACGGTTGAAGGAAACATTGCATCAAGAGTTGGGGGAACTGTTCGGGGAACATGTCGGGGAGCAACAAGAAGAGGAGCGAGAGAGAGAGAGAGACGAATTACCTGGCCACGTACCCAACCCTTGAAACACGTGAGGTGGCTACATGCAGGAACATTACATGCAGAATAACGAATTGAGGGATCAGATTTGTCCTTCAGCGTTGTGCCAAAGAAAGTCAGGCGACCACCGTCGTTGCATACGGGATTGGAAGATATTGCAAGTGATGCTATGTCTGACAGGTCCGATGGAGCACCGCGTTCAGCCGCTTGGCCTCGGTGGCATTTGCGCATGTGGCAGCTTCCGAGGCAGCCGCGACATCTAGTCTGGATGTACGTAAGAGACAACTCCGTGGAGGCAAAGGGACAAGGCCGTATACGGGGACTCGTGCGGTCCACGAAAGCGGCGACAGTTTCGCAGTCCGCAGCCCTTTGGGGAGCCGAAAGCTAGTGTCCTGACGTGCGTGAGACACCACTCCGCTGGGCCCCGCAGGAGCTCACGAAAGTGGCGACGGTTTCACAGTTCGCAGCCCCACAGGGATACGACATGTCGAGTCTGGATGTGCGTAAGACACCTCCCTGCGATCTCACTGTCGATATTATTATCGATCTCACTATCGATCTCAATCTCGATCTCACTACGGGACCGACGGGATACCGACGGGACACCACGGCGGGACACCACGGCGGGACACCCCCGGCCACCGTTGGCCGCTGGCCACCGGGGGGGAGGGGCGGTCTTCTGGCCCAGCGGTGCCCCAGCCAGAGGATGGTTCATCCTTCTCGCCCGCCCACACAGCTCCGTCTCGCCCGCACGCGCGACACGAACCCGAAACCGACACCGATTTTCTGGGGGGGGTCTCCGTTTCACTGCGATCTTACCCCTTCAATTCCGATGTGTGGGGCACGACGCCGCTAGACCTCCCAGAGGCTCACGAACGTGGCGAGAGTTTAGCAGTTCGCAGCCCCCCATGAACGGCGATGTGCGAAGGACGCCACTCAGCTGGACCTCACAGGGGCCCACGAAAGTGGCGACAGTTTGGCAGATCGCAGCCACCCCCAGGGACGGCGAGGTCTCAATCGGATCTGCGGGGGACACGATCCAACGAACGTTGCGACGCGCTCGCAGCTCGCAGTCCCCAAAGGGGCGGCGACGCTTGATGTTGATTGTGTGGGGCACCACTCCGCTGGACCTCACGGGCCCACGAAGGCGCCCCAGGGCAGGCGAGGTTTCGTTCTGGGTTGCGTGGGGCGCCATCCCGCTTGTCCTCCCAGGAGCCAACGCACGTTGCGACAGGTTCGCAGTTCGCAGACACCCAGGCAGCGCGAGCAGGAGGAACGAGAGAAGTGAGGAGGCAGGGAAGAGAAGGAGGAGGAGAACGGCAGAGAGTATAGGAGTGGCAGACGGCAGGAGGAGGGAGGCGGGAGGAGGAGAAGGAGAAGGAGACGCGCGACAGGTGCTCTGTTCAAGACGAGCATCCAGCCAGAGGGGTTGGGAAAACGGAGGGGGCGGCCTCTCCGGAGCTTCGTGGGGCTCTCTTGGGGCCTCCGCGGGCCCCGGGACTTGCAGAAATCGGCTCGGGAGGACAAGACTGTCCTGGGATCCAGGACCTGTTTCCCTCAGTACCCGTTGCCTCCATGCCAGTCTTGGCGGCGCGAGGGTTCTCGGTTCCGAGGTCTTCGGACGTCCTCGGCGGCCCTAGGCGCTCTTGCAGCCTCGACGTGCTCTCTAGCAGCTGCACTTCGCCCAGAGCGGTCCAGGGATGCTCACGTCGTCCCGGCCGCCGGGGGTGGGAGCCACGGACAGAACGCGCGAGCCGCCCCGAGGCGGGGCGCACCCGAGGCCGGAGGCGGCCCCACTGCGGTCACAGGTGGGCGGTTTGGGAATCGCTCGTGCCTTCCTCCGTAGTGAAACTGCTAGAGCCGTTTCAGATGAATGCGCGCGGCGCCAAGGCGTGAGCCACACATTGAAATCGAGCGCACTCTCCATCCTTGCAACGGCTGGGTTGTGTTTGCACAAGAGGATTGTGCGCGGGAAGAGTGAGAAAGGAAGAGCCACAGTTTGAAAACGATATGTTCTCAATCCGTGTAAATGTCCGGAGTTTCAAGTTTCAGCATCACAAGCGGTGAGGAGATCTCAAGCGAAAAGCCCAGCCCGACCCGCTTTACGGACACGCCTGGTGGTGCGACGAGGAGTCATGTATAGAGCAGGGGGATAGAAGGGGGGACAGGCCTTTAAAAGATCGACGCTGCCTCCTCCATTTTCTCCTCCTCGAGTCTCCACCTCCCAGGACTGTGACGTGTTCTCGCTCCTTTGGGACAGCTGAGAGAGCTCTCGGTGGCCACGGCTGGTCACAGCTCGAAACGACCGGCCAGGGCGGAGTCCAGGAGGGAGGATAATGACGGCGGAAGGGGATGACGGCGAGGAGAAGGAGGATGATTAGGGGACAAGGAGGAGGGGAGGACGAGGAAGAAGGAGGCAAGAGGAGGAAGGGGAGGACGACGAGGGAGAGGACGAGGCGGGGAAGCGGGGAGGAGGGAGGTGGAGGGAAGGGGGGGCCCAGGATTGGGAAAACCCAAAGGGAGGCGGAGGAGGAGGAGGGGGACGAGGAGTGAGAAGACGAGGGAGGAGGCTGCGTCGATGACGGCCGCCGCGTGGTGGCCCCCCAGGGCTCGGCCCGCGCTCCGAGTGGCGCCTGTGCGCCGCGGTCGAGGGCCGCCCGCCTCCTCCCCCCCAGCCGCCGGCGCTCGCCGCCGCCGCCGCAGTCGTCAAGGTCGCCGCCGTCGGCCTCGGCCTCGGCCGCCGTCGCCGTCGTCCTCCCCGTCGCTTCTGGGGTGGTCGCTACGGGGTGTCCGTGGGTTGTCGGGGGGCATCGTAGAATTTATCCGCGCGGCGCATCGGTGAAGCATTGACGTTGCGGGGGCCCCCCCGGCCCTGTCTACTCAGAAGCCACTTGTAAGGCATCCATACACGCAAGAGTGGCCCTTCGCTGGGGTGACCTCTGGTGTGCAGCCCTAGACGTGTTCGGGCATCTTCGCCTCTGTCCTGGACGTTCTCCTGCCGTGGGGTGCGTTCCAGCAGCTGCGCTCCACCGAAGACGTCCTGTGGGTGCCCGCATCGACCCGGAGGGCCGCCAGAGGCCCGATTTATGATGCGAAGGCCAAGTGTTTTTTGTCACACCTGGCGTTCTCGCCAGTGTCCGGCCCCGGGGCCCTCGCAGATCGCCCCGTCTGAAGGAACGTCGCAGAAAGTCGGGGTCGAGAGGCGCAGTCGTGTTCTTTCATGATGGCGCAACTCGTTTCGCGACGGTGGACATCAGGGTCGGCGTCGTCGTCGCCAGAGGATAATTTGGAAGAGGAGGAAGAGAAGGAATTGTTTGCATATCGCCCCCCATGCTACCGTGCACCTTACTATGTTGACTCCGGTGTGTAAGCCCGCCGTTGGACGGCACTTGGTGCACATACAGTTAGTATTGTTTCATTCGTTGAGTGTGTAACTTTTTTGATATCATTACCATGGCCCTGCTGATTGCGCAAGAGGGAAAAGAAGAAGAAGGAGGAGGAGGAGGAGGATAACTGGGAGCAGGGGGGCAAAAGTGGAAGGCGACGATGGTGGCGCAAAATGAGGTGAGCGACGTTCGAAACGCGGCGGCCAGGCTTGAGCAGGAGGAGGAGGAGGAGAACTCCTGACGAAATCCGTACCTCTCGAGCCTCCAGACTACAATGCTTGCACCAGATCCGCACTTGCACTACACCCGCACTACATGCGACCTACACTTGAAATACACTCGAACTACACGTGAACCACATTTGAACTACAACGCCTACACCTGGACAGCATTTGAAATGCATCTGAGGCGCAAGTGAACCACAGTGGAACTACTGTTGAAATACATTTAAACTAGACTTGAACCACACCTGGCCTACATGCGAACTGAATTTCAGTTTCAAACAACTACAACGGTCCCGACTGGACCACACTTACTGTACACCTGATCACAGTTGGACCAGACTTGGCCTACTCTTGAACTGCGCGCGAATTGAATTTGATATACAATCGAATTTTCCTTGGTTGACAGGGATTTCGTCCGAACCGCATTCGGCCCACACCTGACTTACAGCTGAACCACCTGCGAACGACGTTTGAGCTTCATTGGGGTTTCACTTTAACCACACTTGAACTAAACCTGACATGCATGTGAACTGCCAGGGGGTCGCCTGAACCACATTTGAACTCCACCTGCTCCACACTTGCACCACACTCGAATTTCACGTTCAGTACAATTCTACCTTACTTGCACTACACTTGAACTACGCGTGATATACACATGAACTTTGAACCACAGTGGTACCACACCTGCATTGCACGTGTAATGCATGTGAAGTGCAGTTGATGTAGACGTCTGCTACACATGCATTGCATGTGAATTTCGTTCGAACTGTATTTGAAGATTTCGTGCTACACCTGAACCGAAGTCGAAACACACTTGAACAACACTCGAAACAACACTTGGAACACACTGGGACTACATTTGGACCGCGCTTGGACCACACTGACTAGACCTGCGTCGCACTGGAGCCACATTTGCATTTCAACTGATCCACACTTGAACCACACCTGTTCAATTCCTGAACTACACAAGAATTAGACTTGGAACCACACTTGAACTACAAGGGTTACTCCTGGACCACACTTGAGCCGCATCTCAGACACCTAAACTACACTTGAACTGCGCGCGAACTGGATCTGAACGACGCTTGCACTACACGTGACCTACACGTGGACTGTCAGGGCCACGCCTTAACCACACTTGAACTACACCCGAACTACACTTGGACCGCACTTGAGCTACAGCTGAAATCATCTGAGCTACATGTGACCTACAGCTGGATTTGACGTAGACTGCGCTTGGGCTACAGTGACGACCCTTCACCACACTTGAACCGTGCCCGGACTACACGCACGCCTCGCGTGAATTACATTCGAACTAAAGGATTATTGCACTTGAGCTGGACTTGGAGCACACTTAAATTGCACTTGTATTGCGAGGCTTTTCAATTGAATCACACATGCACTACACCTGAACTACGTCTGACGCGCACCTGAGCGACGCGCGACCTTCACTTGAACTAAATCTGAACTACGCTTGACCTGCACTTGAACTAAAATGATTACACTTGAACCCCACTTGAATTTTACCTGAATTACGTTTGAACACGCGCTCGCGGGCACGCACGCGGCACTTGAGCGCGAACGCTGAAAGCGAGAATTACGCCGGGGCGTGCCAGAGCAGTTTCGAAGCCCTGACCCCCGTCCCTCGACCGCGGCGAGCATCGCTCGACAGGCAACTTTCCCGGGGCGGATAAGCGCGATCGGAGCGAAGCCCCTCTGGCGCGAGCGCGCCGCTGCCAGGCGAGGTGCCCAATTCCGAGCCCGCCGCCGACGCGGGGCCGCAATGCGCGCCAGCAGGCCGCGGGCGGGGGGCGCCCAGGGCCGCGGGCGGGCCCCGCGCGCGCGCCGCGGGGCGCACCGCGCCCCCATTCGATTCGCGACGCTCGGGCGGGGCGCGCCCAAACCACGCCCGCGCGCGCGACCTGGCGCGCGTCGGAAATGGGTCCGCGCAAGGGCCAGGAGGGCGCTTGGTGCGCGGAGCGGTTGTGCACGGGGAGGGCGGCCGCGGCGTCGCGCGGCTCGCGCGCGCTATGATTTCGCGCCGTCTGCGGCCCATGTCATTGCGCGCGGCGCCCGGCATTCTTGGCCGCGTTTGCGTCGCCGCAGGTCGCGCGGCAATCTGCGCGCCGACGAGGTCGGCGGAGCGCCCGCGATTGGCCCAGGCGGGGCAAGCTGCCGCGCCGCCGTCGGCCTCTCGCGCGCGCGGCATTCTGCGCGGCCGCGGGGGCTGGGCGACGCGCAAATATCAGCGATTCCGCGCCGCGATTGCGCGCGCGATCGGGGGTCGCCAGCGCGCGAGCGCGCGCCGGCGTTGCGCGCGAACCCCCCCCTGGTTGCACCTGGAGCACGCGCGGGCCAGACCGCGCCGCAGTCGGCCGGGGCGGCGCGGAGCGTCTGCGCTGGACGACGCGCGGCCCCGCGCCGGCGGCGAGCCCGCCGCCCGCCCGCCCTCGGGCGCGCTTGCCACCCCGCGGGCAGAGCGGCAAAGCTGCGTCCGATGCGCGCGTCAGTTGCTCGAGCCGCGCACAGCTAACGCCAGCGTTGTTCTTGCAAATGCCCCGCCAGTCTCCGGCGCGCCTAGAGGGGGCAGCGCCTGGGCCGCGACTGGGGCCGCGCTTTATGCGCGCCGGAACTGTGCTCGAATTGCGCTTGGCTTGCGATTGAAATGCGCTAGCGCCTCTCCGGGACCGCGCTTATGTGGCGCCTGGACTACGCATGGACCGCGCCAGAACGCCGCCCGATTCGCGCTTGGGCCACATTTGACTCACGCCCGCGCCAGCCCCGCGCAACATTTGATCTTCGCGCGAACAGCAGTGAACGACGCCAGATCTATACCTGCACAGCGCTGGAACGGCACCTCGAACCACGCAAGATCTACATTCGGACAGCAAGGACTACACTCAAAACATTCCCGCACAAAGCCTGAACTACCCTTGCGCCACACTTGTCCTACACACGAAGTGCACGCCAGCGTCACTTCAACCCCTCTTGAGCTACACTTGAGCGACACTTGGATTACACGGACGACGCCTGGGCTACGCTTGAAGTGCATTTGAGCCAAATTTCACTACACTGGATCTACACATGAGCTGCACTTGCGCAACACATTAACAACGCATGTGCTACATTCGATCTGGCATGAGTACACCTGCGCCAGTCTTGGACTACACCTGAACTACACCTGACCCACATCTAAACTACACGTGGGCAACTCTCGATATTACTTAAACTTGAAAGATACGTGAACTCCGCATGATCTGCAAGGACTGCACCACGACCAATTTGGACACCACCGAAACCACACTTGAAACACTTGAACTACATTAATATGTCTACACGTGGAGCAATTTGAACTACGTTTGTTTTGCACTCGATCTACCAGGGCTACACCAGAAGCGCACCTGAATCACACCTGCGCCACGCTTACACCACAAGGGAGACACACTTGAGTCGCTAATGAACTACACTCAAGCATCACTCGGGCTACACGGGCTTTGCAGCAATCACAGCTGAGATATGTTTGAACCGCGTGCGAATCGCACTTGAGTTGCACGTGCACCACGCATGAACTACACTTGGAGCTTGCATGGGCCACAAAAAAAACCTGCACTACGCTTGCCACACGACTGATCTACATCCGCAACGCATTTGGTTGAACTAATTCTGAAACAAACGACTACACTTGAACTACACCCGTTACCCACTTGAGCAACACCCGCAACACGCTTGAACCACACATGCACTACAATTGAGCTTCACTTGGGCTACACCTGGATTTCACTTGAACTACATTAACATCGCGCTGGGTCTACACCTGAACTGCAATGACTGCACCTGAACCACACATGAACAACACCCGCACTACACCCGACCCGCACATCGACCACCGTTCTTATGCACGTGAGTTGCACTTGAGCAACTCGTAAACTACACTATCACTTCAAGGACTACACCCGAACCACATTTGAAACACACCCGGGCGACCCTTGAAACACCGTTGAGCTGCCCGCGAGTACATTCGAACCATACTTGAATATTTGAATTTCACTTGCTGCACTTGGGTTAAATTTGAGCAACTCAAGCACTGCGCTTGAATCGCCCTGGAACTAGACCTGCGCTACCCTTGAACGCGCGCTTGAACTGCACTGTAACTAGTTTTGAACAGCTCCCGCCTTACCCCTGCACCACAGTTGAGCAACACATGCACTTCGCTTGAACTACAAGGGGGAAGCCTGGCACACACTTGAATTACATGTGAACTACGTCTGAAACAGGCCTGCTCTTTCTTTGGGAACTACACTATGGCCACACTTGGACTACACTTGAAACTGATCTTGAATTATCAGGGCTACACCTGATCTGTGCTTGAACTACCCATGGGCTAGATTTGGGACACATTTGCGCACGCGCGTTGGCGACACTTGAGCGCGCACCATGTCCTAAGGTGACGCCGCTCTGTTCCGCGCCGCGACTGCGCCCCGCGCGCAGCGGCGCGGCGTCTCGCGCATTGCGCGCGCGAACTTGCGACGTTTCTTGCGCCGCCATTGACGCGCAAGGCCCAGCGCTTCGCCATCGCCCGCAGTTGCGGCTAAGCCGCCCGAAGTTACGATCCGGCAACACATGCACCCGCGCGGCGTCATCAGGTCGGCACTTCCGCGCTCGTTTCTGAAGGCTCCCCATTGGCTGCCCTGCACTTGCTGCTGAGCCAGCTATCGCGCGCGTGCCCGCGCGCCACGAACTCGTCGCGCAACGTTCCATTTGTTTGCGCGACCAGAGATGGCAAGCATCCGATCACACACATCATCCGCGCCATCAGTTGCTTGTGCCATGCAGGGCAGCGCCGATTTGGAAAGTCGGAAATATCCGTGGCGCTGTGCAACGTGGGAAGACCATTCCGTATTGAACGGACATCGGATATGTATGATTGTCGTGTTATGACACACCCTGTTGTGTGCAGGCATTTTGTACAATCATATGGTTTTCTCATTGAAGTACCGCATTTCCGCGCTTGCCCAATCTGAGCTATTTGACGGTGTGTGTGTGTGTGTGTGTTTCGTGGTTGGCGTTTGGGAGTCGTTGCGTGTGACGCGTTGCCCCGCGTCGCGTCGGAATGTCTTTCTTTGTCCTCGCCGTCGTCGTCTACCGCGTTCCCCTGTTTGTTATTCCTCTCCCTCTTCGTTGTCCCGTTTTTTTTTCCTTCTTGAGGTTTTCACGTGGCGCTCTCGAACCAAATGGAGCTTGTTTTGGATCCTGTTGGGGTGATTTGGTCGGGGGCATCTTTGGACGTTCTTGTGACCCTTTGGGGTAATCTTGGGTTTTTGTCGGCCATCATGGCAGACTCGTGGTGCCTGGTGCCGTCCTGGGCCTTTCCCGCTTCCCTGACCGCGCCCCTGCATTGTGTGCGGCTCCCACGGGTTGGATTCGCCTCGTGAAAAAATGAAGGTTCTCGCGGTCACGCCGGGGCATTTCATGCGCGGGCTCCCCGCTCCCAATAAAACATTGTCAGTGTAAGGTACCGGTTCGAACCCCTCCCCCCCCCCCCCCCCAGCTCATCATGAAAAGGAGGGGGGGTCACTACCGGTTCGAACCCCCCCCCCCCCTCGAAAACCGAGTGGGGGTGCGGACAGTGGCGGGGACGGTGTTGGCGGGGACAGTGGCGAGGGGACAGCGGGACAGTGGTGGGGACAGCGGGGGGACAGTGGGACAGTGGTGGGGACGGTAGTGGTGGGGACAGTGGTGGGGACAATGGTGGGAACAGGGGGGACAGTGGACAGTGGTGGGAACGGTGGTGGTGGGGACAGTGGTGTGGGGACAGTGGGAATGAGGTGGAAACACTGGGACAGTGGAGGGTACAATGGTGGTGGGGACACTGGTAAAGGCGGTGGCGAGGACGGCGGTGGGACAATGGGACAGAGGTACAGTGGGGACAGTGGTGGGGACAGTGGGGACAGTGGTGGAAACAGTGGGACAGCTCAGTGGGACAGCGGAGGAGTCAGTGGGACAGTGGGGACAGTGGAGATAGGCAGTGGTTGGGTCCGTGGAGACAGTGGGGAGAGTGGAACCGTGGTGGGAACAGTTGTGGGAACAGTGGGGACAGTGCGACAGTGGTGGGGGCATTGCATTGGTGGGGACAATAGGGACGGTGGTGGAACCAGTGGGGACAGTGGTGGTGAGGACAGTGGTGCTGGGAACAACAGTGGGGGATGTGATGCGAGCGGTGGTAGGGACGGCAGTCGTTTGCTGGCGGTGCGTGGGGGGGCGGGTCGAACCGGTAGTGACCCCCTCCGGTTTTCGAGGGGGGGGGGGGGGGGGGGTTCCAACCGGTAGTGACCCCCCCCGGTTTTCCGGATCCGGAGGGGGGGGGGGGGAGGGGTTCGAACCGGTAGTGACCCCCCCCGGCTTTTTGGGGGGGGGGGGGGGGGGAGGGGTTAGGGGAGGGGGGGGGTTTTGCCGGGAGGGAGGGGGGGGGGAGGGGAGGGGTTCCGGCAGGGGGGGGGGGGGATTTTCGGAGGGGGGGGGGGGAGACCCCCGGGCTCCGGAGGAAAAGGTTGGCAATTTTCCACAGTAAAGCGGCGGTGGATCACGTTCTCTCCATTTTGAGACATATGTTTGGAAATTAGAACAGGAATGCCCGGGAACCCAACGAAGAAGTTTGCTTCGGGTGCTGGGCAGGATTTGGGGCGGGGCGCGCGCGCGCAAGCGTGCGTATTGGAGCGCGCGCGCGCATGCACGTGTGCGCGCGTGCGTGCGTGCGCGCATGCCGATAACAAGCCCACAGAGTGGGGGAAGGAGGAGGGACCAGGGGAGGGGGACAGGGCGAGGGGAGGGGAGGGGAGACAAGGGGAGACGGCGGCGGAGGAGGGGGCGGGGGACGATGAGGGATCCCATGCGCCTTGAGTGTTGATGCTTTCGTTGCTGTCGCAGCGGGCGTTTCTTATCGGTGAGTGCACGAATCGCCCCTTTTGTGAGGTGCCCTTGGCCCGAAGCACGCGGCCGTTTGTGGAGGACGAGGGGCGCGTAAACGCTTGCGCTGCGCGCAGTGCAGTGAGAACCGACAGCGGAAGGATAATGTTGGGAATCCGACCTTGTCGGTTTCATTGTGGTCACTTCGCGAGGACATTTGCTGGCAACTCGACATCGTGAGTCGCGCGTATGGAGCCCTACGTCCTGCAAGGAAGCTGGAACAATTTGTTTGGGGCATCCCCCCGATTCGTCAACCCTCCCAAGTTTCGTCGCAGTTGTTCCTGCCCGGGCCACCTTATTCAAAATGTTTCGGGTTACGTTCCGCCCTGACCAGTTTTTTCCAGTCCTGGCTACTTCCACGTTTATGAAACGTGCAATGTTCATCCCCATATTATGTGAACGAACTTTGCCGCGCTGGCGGCCTGCATTGGCTATCGTAGGAAATCACCGCGACCGCATGCGCAATACCCTCTCCTGCTTCGCAGCCCAGAGTTATTTCTCTCGGAAACCCACGCTTGCCGTTGTTTTGGATTCCTAGACCTCTGGTTTCTCTTTTGCCCCCTCCCAGGGATTCGTTTTTTTTGTTTTTCATCCCGAGGTCTTGAAAATTGGACAGCCCCAAGGTCCGAAAACTGTCATCCCGAGGCCGAAAGCGCAGAAACAAAATGATGTTCGACGCTCCGGACGTATTCCGCGGCACGGTCCCAGTGTGCGTTCTGGCCGGAAGGTCGGGGCGGATGCAGCCGAGGCGGCGAGACCGCCACCCACAGGAGGCCAAACACTTGCGATCAAAACGCCCAACAATCTCGAGCCTCGGTCCGCCCTCACTCGGCCAAAACGTCCGCGGCAGCTTGGCGCGCCGTCCTCCGGGCACGGTCGGCAGCCCAGCCGGGCCTGCTGCGCTGGGCAAGCACGGGGACGCACGGGCCGCACGGGCGCTGCCCCCGTCGCTTTGTCTCTCTGCGCGGGAAGGTTTGCATAAACATGATTCTTTCGAGGTCCCCGCGAGTTTCGCGGATCTGTGCTGAGCCCCTTTGGTGGCGCCTCGGCGCCGCCCTTGGCGGGCTCCGCGCGCCGGGGAGGGGCGTTCAGTGTGGAGCCCAGGAATCCGCACAGACCTTCACAGTGTATAGCTATCTTTCTGCTGTTCCTCCTCGGGCTGGGCTCAGCTGCGACGACACAACCACAAGTGTGCGGGGTGGACCCCCGGCCCAGGCAGGCCTTGCCACTGCGTCGGCACCGCGGCCTTCCACTCCTGGAGCGCCACGCCTCCCCGGCCATCGCGCGCGCGGGGCTGAAAGCGAGAAGCGACCTTGGGCGGAGGATGGGGGAGGCGGCGATTCGGCCGCTCACCCTCGGAGGAAGGCCGCCTGGTCTGGACACCGGTGGCTCTCCCTGGCGTGTGTTCGTCCCTTAGTGGGTTCCTAGGGGCTTCTCGTCGCCACGTCTGGATCCGCTTCAAAAACACTGGCCCCGATGGACCCCGGGAGGGGTTTGGGGATTGATTTTGAGCGGCGATGCTATACATCGTTTTCATTCCCGTTTTGACGGATCCACCTCGGGCCCAAGGGCGGCAGGGCAGCCCACATCGGGGCTCCAGGATCGAGCTCTTGGACGCCTCTGTTATTTCTGTCCGTTTAGGGGAGGACTTTGGGTCATTTCTTGGGGCCGAGGCCTCCCTTCGGCGCGATCGAAAAGAGTAGGGACGAGCACCAACAGCAGTACCTGTCCGCTTGAGGCAAAAAGTCGCCTGCCCAGAAGCAGCTGCTATCGATTTTGGACGTGGCTTGCCCTCCTCCTCTCTTCCCTCCCGCCCTCCCTTGAGGCGCCAGGAGGAGGATAAGATAGAGTGATATTGAATCAACGAGAACACTAGAACCCCGAACCCTAATAACACGACCAAGTCGTGGGCTCACCGAGGTCCCCGTGTTTCCATTCGGTATGAAACAGTTGGTCGGTTTGGTTCGATACATCTGCAGAAAAGACCCCCTATCCCTGATGTGTTGGGCCCTCCTGACTTAGGTCCCCTGCCAAAGGATTAAGGCTCCTGTGTTGTTGCTCCTTGAAGTTCGTTTACAAGGGTCTCCGGAGGAGGAGGAGGGGGGGAGGACCTGTGTGAACCCATGAGCCATCAACGATGTTGGATTACCCCTCCCTTCAATCTCCCTCTTCACAGACCCCTACAAGGGTTCGTATCCACTGATGGAACTGCCTCGTTGGAAGACAACCGTTTGAAGACCTTGAAGCAAAGTAAAACATGATTGTCGGGATTCCAACGCCACGGATCAACCCGGCTGTTGCGTCTTGACAATCCTGAGTCACGCCAGACCGCGCATTCTTGGGATTTCCACATCGCGAATCTGCGTAAATGTTGCACCCTCGTAATCCTGTTTTCTTCCTAAGTGCCATTTCCCATTTCTGATACGTTGACCATGGGAATCCGTGAGACTCTTGTATATGTGTTAAGCAAATACGCGCGGCGTTAAGGCGACAGCCGCATTTCGAAAACGGCCCGCCCTCAACCCGCGATTTGTTTTGCAAATGTACATGCGCGGGGCTGAGGCGAGAGCCACATGTTGAAAACGACCCGCCCTCAATCCGTGAAACTCCTTGTAGATGTTTACAACCAATATGCGCGTCTCTAAGGAGAGAGCCACATGTTGAGAAGGACCCGGCCTCAATCCGTCAAATTCCTTGCAAATGTTTAAAACCAATATGCGCGGCGCTACGGCGAGAGCCACATATTTAAAACGACCCGCCCTCAATCCGTGAAAGTCACGCGGCGCTAAGGCGAGTGCCACATTTTGAAAACGAACCGCCCTCAATCTGTGAAACTCGTGCACATTCTTACAACGAATGCGCGCGGCGCTAAGGCGAGAGCCACATGTTGAAAACGATCCGCCTTCCATCAGTGAAACTGTTGCCACTGTTCTAGCTTCAGGGTCGTAGATGGTGAGGAACTCTCAGGCGAAACGCCTGGCCAGCCCTAAAAACAGGCCTCGGGGTGCGACAGGGAAGAGTTATTAGTTGCCTCGCCGCTTGGGGGCAGTGTTGGGGCCTCTTGGGGGCCTCTGGGAGGCAGTTTTGAGGCCTCTTGGGGGCCGTGTTGGGGCCGCTTGGGGCCTTTGGGGGGCCTCGGGGCCGCTTGGGGCTGAAGGCTGAACTTTTCGGTTCCGTGTCCGCGTCTTGGGCCCCTCTTGGTACCGTTTTGGGGCCCTCTTGGTCCATCTTGGGCGCCTCTTGGGTTGTCTTGGGGCCATCTTGGGCCGTCTTGGGGCCCGCTTGGAGGCTTCTTGGGCCGTCTTGGGGCGGTCTTGGGGGCCTCTTGGGCCGTCTTGGAGCGTTGGAAGCCGAAAAGGAGAGAAACGTCGCACATGCGAACAATGCATGTTTTCCGAAAGGGAATGGGCATATGTTTGCTTGTTTGGGCCCTCTTGGAGAGCCTCTTGAGGCCCTCTTGGGACTTTTTCGCGAACCCTGGGGCCACCTGGAGACAATCTTGAGCGTATTGGAACGATCTTTCGGCGACTCGGGGCCTCCTGGGCCGTGTAGGGGGCGTCCCGGCGCCCTCTTCGCGCACTCCTGGAGCGCCCTGGGGGAGTCGACCGGGCATCGGCCGGGGTACTTTTCGTCCAGGGATCCCCAGGGGCCGCCACGCGCGAGCGAAGTTAACCTGTCCCTGCAGATCTCAGCACACCTCTGGCCCGTTGGACCGGCGAATTTATACGGACAAGGAATGGAGGAGGAGGAGGAGGAAGAGGAGAAGGAGGATGGAGGATGGAGGATGCAGATGAGGATGATGATGATGCTGCTGATGATGATCATCATGCTGCTGCTGATGGTGATGATGATGCTGATCGTGATGCTGCTGATGATGATGCTGACTATGCTGACGATGCTGATGATGCGGATGATGATGTTGCTGCTGATGATGATGTTGATGGTGATGGTGATGATGATGATGAGGATGAGGATGAGGATGCGGATGAGGATGTTGATGGTGCTTGTGATGGTGACGGTGATGGTGATGGTGATGGTGACTGTGATGGTGATGGTGACGGTGATGGTGATGGTGATGAGGAGTAGCAGGAGAATGAGGAGGAGGAGGATTATGATTATGACGACGATGAGGAGGAGGAGGAGGAGGAGGAGGATGGTGATGAGTGGTAGGAGAAGGAGGAGGATGAGTAGGATGACAGATGATGATGACGATGATGATGATGCTGATGATGGTGATGGTGATGGTGATAGTGATGGTGAGGGTGATGATGAGGAGGAGGAGGAAGAGGAGGATGAGGATGAGGATGAGGATGGTGATGGTGATGGTGATGATGATGCTGATGATGATGATGGTGATGATGACGATAAGGAGGAGGAGGAGGAAGATCATGAGGAGGAGGAGGAGGAGAAGAAGGAGGAGGAGGAGGAGCCGAGGAGGAGGAGGAGAAGGAGGAGGAGGAGGGGGTGGAGGAGGAGGAGGATGGAGGATGGAGGATGGAGGATGGGGATGATGATGAGGTGGAGGAGGAGGTCCTCACAAGTGCTCCAGGTAAAACGTGTCTTGGCGATGTCGTGGACCGTTCTCTTTCTGATTCTATTTTGCAGGAACTGCTGAACGAGGACAGGACGAATCGCACGCAAAAACAACACGAGCACGGCTAACACTGTTTGATTCGATCCCCCCTCCCCACCAGACCTCCACGCGCCGTGAAAGTCCTGGGGAAGGGTCGAGAGTTTCGGGGTACAGCCAAGACGCTGAGATAAAGACCACATTGAGTTCAGAAGGGGCTCGCTGTTCATTAAGCTCTTCCATGGCTGTTCCTCTAGCCATTCTCAGTCACCTAGCCGCTTTGGGAGCCAACAACGGGCTTCGTTCCTTATTTAGCGTTCCTTCTAGTAGTACCTCGACTGTAGGGAAGGACGGGATGGGGACCCTCTTCTCAGCCGCCCCAATCGTGCCCATCGTCTTCCTCATCCGCCTCCTACTTCATCTCAGTGCCTCATTTCTATGCCGGACGATCTCTCCAGTGCCCCCCCCCTTTCCACCAACATTTCCTCTCCCCGACTCCTTTGTTGTCCTGTGTGCTCCCACCTCACTGCTTTCTCTCGAGCCATTGCTTGGCCGCGCAAGCGCATCGTAAGCAGTCATGGAAGCAATCATGGTTTCCTTGTGGCTTGCACGCTGCATAATCTGCGTTGCTGGCGCGGGTGACGAGGTTCCCATAGAACCTGGGCCGCATAGAATTGCAGCGTGCACGAGCTCATGTGCTCAATCTCGTTCGCAATGCTGTCCGTGCACACAGAAGGTTTGATTTCGCGCGGAGGTCGGAACAGTTGCCTTGCCGACCGATATTCGATATTCCTTCCCGTGGGAAGGCGGAACGTCGCAGACAGTTTCCCATCTCGCCAAACTCTCCATTGCTTGGAGGAAGGCCAGTCGAGACAAAGATGGCTCTCTTTAGCGTGCTTTGTCATCTTGTTCCTCGTGTGCGCGTTTCGTCGCCACGTCTGCACCCGCCTCGAAGAACAGGATCCCGATGGACCCTGGGAGGGGTCTTGGGACCGATGTTGAGCGGGTGTGAGACGGGCGGGGCAGTCGCTGTTGTCTCAATCGGCCCTGTCCGGGTTGACGTCGCCTCGCGTGCTCATCCCCCGTTGGTGGGTTCTCAAGGACGTTTTTGTTGTTGTGTTCCCCGACCTTGTGTCGGGCCCTTGCTCTGGATAGGGCAATTCGGGTCTCCGTCCATCTCCCACGTCCTCCCTCATCCTTCCTCCTGTCTCCTACCCGCCTCCATCGCTTCCCCGGGTGTTTCCAGAACTTTCGGGGTATTGGAGGCCAGGAGATAAAGAATAATGTTCGACGCTTCGCGTAACCCCCGCCAGTTTGGACTGGCGCCGCGGCGTTCAGTTCGTGATTCTAAGGCACTTTGCCACAGGTCTGCTCAATGCATGAGCTTCCCTGGGCGTTGCAGTTCAGCCAGTCAGCCCCTTGCCGCTGCTGCTCTCCAGCCTGCCGCTTCTGAGTGCTCGCCCGGCCAGCTTGCGTTGCGCCTAGTAGCTAATTAGGCTGGCCCGTGCCCCGGACCCCCTTTCGCCGCCTGCCCTCTGCTGCGCGGTCGCAACCAAAAAAGGTAGCCCCCGCCAGCCCATCCAGAAACGATGCCTAGGCAAGTTACCTTGATCAGGCATGTGGGGGAGCACGCAGTGGAACAAAAGCTGGGAAGCCGTCGTGCCCCAAGAAGGGGAGGATGGAGGAGGAACCAGAGGAGGAGGAGGAGGAGGAGGAGGAGGAGGAGGAGGAGGACGAGGAAGAGGAGATAGACGAGGAGGAGGAGAAGGAGGAGGAGGAGGAGGAGGAGGAGCAGGAGCAGGAACAGAAGGAGGAATAGGAGGAGGAGAATGCAGTGGAGTAAATCGCTGGGGAAGCCGTCATACCCCAAGAGGGGGAGGATAGAGGAGGAATAGGAGGAGGGGGAAGGGGAGGGGGAGAAGGAATGAGGGCGGCGAAGGAATAGGCGGATGAGGACGAGGAAAAGGAGGAGGAGGAGCAGGAGGAAGAGGGGACGCAGATTGTCCACTGGCTTGTTGGATGCCTTTCAGTGCCTCTTCGAATGTCTCTTGAGAGCTTCTTGAGGTCCTCTTGGGGCGTCGTTGGGGCATCTTGGCTGTCCCCGAGGCCTCTTGAAGTGTCGTGGGTGCATCGGGGGAGCCTCTTGGGGCCTCTTAGGGGTCTCGTGGTAGCCTCTTTGGGACCTCTTGGATGTCTCTTGGGCCTTCCTTTGGTGCCTCTTGGGGCCCAATTGGGGCACTCTTGGGAGCGCTGGGGGCCAGCTTGGGGCCATTTTCTTGGCAAAGCAGGGGGGTACTAAACTGGCGCCCACCCCTCCAGGAGGCCCAAACGGGTCCAACACCTGAGCAGCATTAGTTGTTGTTGCCTTCTCGCCGAGGCGTTCTTGGACGCTCCAATCCTAGAGGGAGGAGGCAAATCCTAGGGGGGGGGGGGGGACAAACCCTTCCTCGATTGGGAAGAAGAGGGGCCGGAAGTGGAGGCGCTCTCAACCACTCCCGCCCAGGGGGGTGTTGGAATTAGTTCAACAGGCACGGCGCAGGCGGCCGCCTACGGCGTGGGCTATTGCTAAATTAGCCACTGTGGCAATTGTGAACATCTTGGAGGTCCAGCGGAGCGTACATGTTACGGCGAACCAACCTGGACATCGCGGCCCTAGGTGTTGCCAGGTGCGGCAACCGTCGCCGCTTTTGGTCGCGCCGGGGGGGTCCAACGGAGCGCCCTCTTGGAGACATACTGGACCTCGCTCCCATGGGTACTGAAAGTTATTGACGCTTCGCGTATCCCCACCAGTCCATTTTGCCTCTTGCAGGTGCAGTTGTTGCGTCGGCCTAGGCGCCGTCGTAACCAATTATCTCGCCCTGTGCCCCAGCCGCGCCCGCCCCGCTTCCTGGACTTTTCCTTGGAGCCGCCAATCAAAAAAGTATCCCCACCAGCGCTCTTTTTTTGTCTCTCTCTTTCTCTCTCCCGTGTGCAATTTAGGCTCCTGCATGTTAGCTGTAGTTTTGGACGGCGCGCGGACCTTCCGTTTGCGCTCGCGAGCAAAAAGTATCCCCACCAGTTTCGGCGTGGCCCGCCCTAGTTTTGCCAAGTTTTCGACTTGTTTCTCGAGCCCACGTACCAAAAGGTATCCCCACCAGCCCATCCAGAAACATATCACCAGGCGAGATGCCCTGATCAGAGAAGTGCAGGAGCATGCAGTGTAACAGCCGCCTTGGAAGTGCTCTCCCGGAGGTCTGTTGGAGCCATCTTGGGTCTCTCTTGGGGTCCTCTCGCAGCCACTTGTGGCACTCTTGGGGCCCTCTTGGGGCTCTCTGGGGGGCCTGGGAGGCCACTTGAGGCAATTTCGGGCACACAGCTCCAAAAGAGAAGGGGGCCAATGAATTCAGCCCCCCCCCCCCCCCCCTCAGATGCTCGAGCAATAACGGTTTTGGGCGCTCTTGGGGCGCTCTCGGGCGCTCTTGGGGCCCTCTTAGACCCCTCTTGGCGCTCTTGCGCCGTCTTGGGGCCATCGCAAGGCCCCATGAGCCCATCGGAAGCGAAAAAGCCAGAAGGCAAAACACAATGTTATTCCTTCGGTGTTCGAGCCATGCTGGCATTTTGGGAGTGTCCGTGGAGGACTCGGAGGGCACTTGAAACCGTCTTGAGGCCGTCTTGCGGCCTCTTGGATGTTTACCGGACGCTATCTTGAGCCATCTTGAGGTAGACTGCGCCATCTTGGAGGCGATCGTGGGCTCTCTGAGACCCTCTTGGAGCCATATTGGGCCGTCTGGGAGGCTCTAGCCCCTCTGTCCACCCCCCATCGCAGGCCCAGGCGAGGGGGTAAGGGGGGAGGTAAAACCCTGCCCCGAGCAGTGGGAAGAGGTGTATTGGCAGATAGGAGACAAAGTTCGTCAAACCACCTACGCCCAGAGGGCTGGTGGGATTGCGCAGCTGTCGCCATTTTCGTGAGCTCCTTGGAGGTCTGGCAGACCGGTGCCTAGAAGGCCCCCAAAATACACCACGCCGCCCTGGGCGGTGCCAATTGCGCAAGTTTATCGAGAGCCTCGAGACGGGGGTCAGTGCAAACGGGGCTCAGCCAGGGCGCCGGATCCTGCAGGATCCTGCGAAGGCCCCCTCTGGCTGACCCGGGTTAGGGAGCCGCTCGTGGCCGCGAGGCGGCCGCGCGTATTGGCTGACCCGGGTTTGCGAGGACTTGCGTTGCAGTTGTTTTCCTGCATTGCAGTTTTTGGTTTCCTGCTGACCCGGGTCTGGATTGATCCGGGTCAGAGGATCCCCGAGTTTAGCCATTTTATCCAGCTCCTGGAAGGTTCAGCGGAGCAACGTCTTGAAGGGTCCCAAACTAGACCTCGCCGTCCTGGATGGTGCCAACTGCGCAGGAGTATTCACATTCGGTGATCTCCTGGGAAATCCAGCGGAATGACGTCTTACGCTGACCCACGCTAGACTTCCCCGCCATGGGTGCTGCTGACGGCACAACCGTCGTCATTTGCGGTGAGTTCCTCTGAGATCCACCGCCACCGCGTTTAAAGGTTTTCGAGTGTCAAGTTTCTGAGCTAGACCCGCCCGCCATGGGTGCTGCTGCCGATTGCCCAACTGCTGTCGCTCGAGCGAGCTCCTGGTCCAGGGCCTCAGAGAATAGAAACAAAAAAAAACACGCGAGAGCCCCCCAGACCGCTCCAGAACTTCCTAGACCACTTCAGAGCCTCCTGAAACGCTTCACGTGTGCACAGGCGCCGCCGCGCAAGAGAGAGATGACGATGGGGGGAAGAAATGCGGAGGCGCGGATATAATGGCGATGAGGAGGGAGGTGGAGGAACGAGGGAGGAGGAAAGAAAGGAGGACGAGGAGGAGGATCAAGAGGAGGAGGAGGGTGGGGAAGAGGAGGAGGAGGAGGAGGAGGAGGAGGAGGAGGCCTCCTGAAACCGCCGCTCAGGCCCTCCTCGTCCGCCCTCCTCTTTCCCAGCCCTCGCCCCCTTCCCCTGCGCCTCCGCCCCTCCCTGCGCCCATCCCCCACCACTGGGGGGGCCGCAGACTGAGACACCGAGGGGTCCGCCTGATTGAGCGCCCCACGCAGATTTCTCCACGTGTCGTGCGAGCCCCCTCAGCGCAGGGCACCACCCCGCATAGGAGAACGAACAGATCCGGTAGGTTCGTGCCGTGTCGACACGTCGGCGACCACAGCGCAGGCGTTCAAAGGCTGAGCGCCGCCAATGGTCCAGAGTCGGCCAACATCGAACGATCTGGTGCAGGTCGTCACGACACGAGCCTGCCGCACTGATACCGCTGCTCCTCGTGCCTCTCCCGTGGCGTGCTCTGACCAGGACGCCGAGGCGAGCTCAGCCGTGGCGATCTGCCCCCCCCCCCCCAGCTCAGAGGGGCGAAAATTCGAGAGTTCTGAGACAGGGGTCAATGCAGACGGGGTCAGTCAGAGCGCCGCATCCTGCAGGGTCATGCTGGATCCTGCAGGGCCAGAGGTGCATTGACTCGGGCTTGGGTGCAGGATCCTGCAGGATACTGCAGGATCTTGCAGGATCCTGCAGGGCCTGACTGACCCGGGTCTGGAATGACAAGGGTCAGTAGATCCCTGAAAAATGAAGGGAGTTCATCGGCGTCGGTGCGTTTCGTTCTTCCCAGACCGCAGCGCTGCCCGAGCCTGGTCCCATGCTCCCGCCCCGCGTGCCGCCAGGACTGGGGACTGGGCCATGGTTCGGCACGTCGCCAGCCCGCCCCGCTGGGGCGCGGGGCAGGAGGACCTCCCAAAGGGCCTGGGGAGTACAGTCAACCCGCATAGTTAGGATGGGCAACCTTCCCAAGGGTGCCCTTGCATCCTTGCCCCTTCGGTCCATCCTCGGCGACTTTCGCTGGCCAACCTCGTGCGAAAAACGTTAACATGGCCTTCCAAGGCCCCTGCATCCTTACCGCGCATGCTTCTGATACGGGTCGACTGCGATGCCAGGAGGCTGGATGGTGCACTTGACGTGGCTGGCCTGGGCGAAGACCGGGCACGCCCCTTCCAAGGCCGTGTAGCCGCGTAGGCCAGGCTTCCGCATGCGCACTTGTCCAGCGCGTGGCCGCCAGTCGTGCCTGCAAATGTGTTGAGAGCCTCAATTAAGAATGTACTTCAGATGTCCTCAGGGCTGCGTTTAGCCTTCACGAAATGTCAGGGTAGGACGGGGAAGATGCCGCTCAGGCCAAGAGGCGAGAGAGGAGGTGAGAGGACGCCGCCAAAGAACGATGCAAGCAACTCCTCTTCTCCTCCTCTTCTCCTCCTCCTCCTCATCCTCCTCTTCCTCCTCCTCCTGATCCTCTGGTCGCCTCCAGAAAGGCTCCCGAGAGCTCCAGAGGCTTCTGGATTCCTTCAGGGACCTTGAGAGACCTCCAAGGACCTCTGACAGTTCCGTGACGCACGCCGCGGCGTGGCGCCTAGACCGGCGCGGGATTCAAGGTTGAGCACCCTCCAGGACCTCATTTCGGGCCTTGGGTTTGTCATAAAGCTGCTCGCGGCACGACAGCCAGCCGAGAGGTGGCAGTTCGAGTTTTCCCTCTCGGGCCCCTTCGGGGGTCACCCGGAAGGTTCCTGGCGCCCTCTTGGGGGCACTGGGGGCCCTCTTGGGCCAGTCCTGAGTGGCTCCCAGGGCCCCGTCGGCTCAAGAGAGCCTCAGGATGGTCCCTTTGGGCTCCTGGGGACTCTTACTTTCTGAGGGTTTCCTGGACGGCGTCTGACGTTTTGGGTGTTTTTTTATGTGTTTTGTTTGTCTTGTTTGTTTTCATGTATTTTCCTGATATGCCTGATATGTTATCTCTAGCTGGTTTCTATCTTCCGTTTCTGGGAGGCGGGGCACGATTTGTCCGCCCTCCTTTGCGCAGAGACCCAGCCTTAGGAATCAGCAAACATCCAGTGCCGTGGGACGGTGGAGTCAGTCTCGGCGGGTTTGGCGCCCCAGCCCGCGCAGCAAGCGGCCAGGAGCGCCTAAATTGGTGCTCTGGACCCCTACCAATCACGCAACCCGTTCAATTTTCACATCTGTATGAGCCTCGCGGCTTTCCACTCCGGCGGACATTGCAGCTACATCCATAAGAAGTGTTCTCAATAAGTCGTAAGCGCCCAAAGTGAGAGATGGGAATGTGGCCCTCGGAGTGAAGTTTCAAATCTCGCGCAGTCTTGCCAGTCACGGGTCCAGGACGCCACATTGTTGCTTCCTGGCGGGACGGGCAACCAGCTGTGCCCCGCGCCTCCATTCCAATCCTGGGCGTATGGCAGCAGGCACCTGAGAGTTCTGCCAGGTACTCCAGATTTCGTAATAAAAGGGAGGGGGTCTCATTTCGGGGGGGGTCTCTTCCAGGCCATCTTGGAGGGCCTGGGGGGGTCTGGGGACGATGTTTTGGAGGGTTCTCCCACGGGGGGGGGTCTAAAACTTCTCGTCTGGGAGGGTTGAGACCCCCTCCCTTTTACTACGAAATCTGGAGTACTCCGGGAGTCCTGGACACCCGCCCAGACTTCGGACCTCGTGTGTTGTTTTCACCACGCGGACCTCGGAAGCCCCCGGGGGCCACTCCTGCGCCCCGAGTCGTGGTTTCACGGCCCCTGGTCCCGATGATGGCCCCCCATGGATGTCGAATTTCTTCTGCTGCTCAAATGGAGAAGCCCGTCGTTATTTTGTCGGCGACGCGGTAGGGTCTGGGTCCTGGGGTCTGAGACCGACCCCCAGCCAGAATGTGGGGTCGGATCCAGCCAGGTGCGACGAGGAAGCCGCCAGAGTTTTCCTCGAACATCAAGCCTCCAGCCACGATCACCGACGCGAGGAAATCTGGATATCATGGCACTGCTCTTCCCAGGCAGTGCCGAGGGGGAGAAGAACTCCAGGGGGATCGCCACCTTCTCAAGGAAGCGGACCCCCCTTGAATCCCCAAAGTTTCCGCGACGCCCAGAAACGGCCCGAACTTCGATCCTCGATCCTCCCTCCTCGATTCTGGACTTCCAGGAGAACATGGTGATCCCCCCGGGGGTGACCCCCCCCTGGTGGTGAGCCCGCGGCCGCCCACGCCGCTGGCCCCGCGGGGCTCTCCGCGGCAGCGGGGCGCGGGCGCCAGGTCAACGGGTCGATCCCGTGCACCGCCGACGCTTTCGGGGACGACCCGAGGCTCCGTCGCCGCGCGCGCGGCGGGCGGCGTCGTCGACGTCGCCGCCGGCGGTCCGTCGGCCACCGCCGCCGTCGCCTGTCGTCCTCGTCGGCGTCTTGCTCTGCATCCCAGAGATGGGGGAGGCCCGAAGAGGAGGAGGAGGAGGAGGATGAGGAGGCGGAGGAGGAGGGCATCGGCTTAAAAGCCAAAGTCTTTTCCACGCAAGGCAGGCCGGCGATGACAAGGAGACGAGCCAGGAGGGAGAGTGGCAGAAGGAGGGCAAGCTTGGGCTCGAGCTAAACGGTGTTCTGGCAATTTCGTGGACTGTTTTCGTTTTGATTTCGTTTCGCAGTCAAGGCAGAACGAAGACAGAACGAGGGATAACAAAAACAAGCCAAACACAGAACATTGTTTGGCTCGAGCCCTGGGGTTCGAAGATGACAAAAAGGTATTGGCAACCCCTGGTGGAGATCCGCACAGATATCTTGGCTGGGCTTGGGCCTCCCTCACTGGCGCGGGAAGCGAGCCAAGGGCTGCGCCTCCTGGGCCGCTGCGGGGGGGTGCAGCGCCGATGCAAGAAGCCCGCGCGGACCTCCGAAATATGATGTGTTTCGCTTCTGTGTCTCCTAGGTTGGGAGAAGAGGAGAGTCACTTCGAATTCTAGACGCTTCGCGCAACCCCACCAGCCCATCCAGAAACGATGCCCAGAGAAGTTGCCTCGATCAGGGAGGTCGGCAGCACACAGAGGAACGGTCCCCCGATGGAGGCCTCGTCTTAGGGGGCGTCTTGGCGCTTCCGGGGGGCCTCTTGGAGCGTCTTGGGTGCCGCGGGGAGCCTCTTGGGGTCTCTTGGAGGAGAGTCGCTTCGAACTTTCAGGATGGTCGCTAGCGCGTTGGCGGCTGACCCAGTGTGCAAAGCCAGCTTGGATCATTTAATCGAATTCGGGATTTCCCAGCCACCATGTTGTAATCCCGAATGGTGGTCAGCGGGGCGGGGTTCATGCGTGGACCGTCTGCTAAACCGACCACTTCTCACGTAGATGACGAAAGGGTGGTTCTGCACGCAGCTTAACACTCATAGCACGAACCACCAAACCGTTCATTCCAAGAGGCGAGGAGCGGACAGAGCAGGAGGAGCGCAAGCAGGGGAAGCAATCTGCTTGCGCGCGCGCGGGTGGGTCTAAGGGACACCGTGGCTGTTCAGCCCGCGGAGCAGAAGTCTGGATTGGCTCTACAGGTGCGATCGGTTAGGAGACTTAGGACGCGGCGATCCGTGGCCAGATGAGCTGCTACCAGGGCGCGGCGAAGCTGCTCACCCTTATCGCTTTGGTGCCCAACCTCTGCTTCGCGACACTGGGGGCGGTCAGGGGTGGGCGACTGCCCACAGACTCGCTGCTCCACCCCGAACGGAGGAGGAGGAGGAGGACGAGGGCGAGGACGAGGAGGAGGAGAACGGACGCTACCTGGAGAAAAGAGGTCTTCGAGCGAGAGGCGGTTTGCCGAACTGCTGAGGCTTGGCGCAGCGTGGTGGTGCGCAGGGATGGGCTGGAGGCTTAGGAGGAGGAGGAGGAGCAGCAGAAGCAGCATCAGCAGAAGGCGGTGGATGGGCTGGGGCCTGTCGGCCCAAAGCCCAGGAGGACGTATTCGCCGGGATTCACCACAGAGCAGGTTGGAGCGCGAATCCTCAGAAACATAACTCGAATTTCGATTGCATATGAAACGTGGTGCAGTCTAGCACGGGCGAAGTCAATCGCCCTCCCAATAGTAGCGCCCATATGTTAGCAGCGGCGTGGCACGCGTCACACGAAGGAATGTTGTGATATTCATATACTGTAGGGGCGGATGCGTACCTTCACAGGACCTCCTTGAGGGGGCGCGTGGATCAGATGGGTGGCGACTGGTTGTTGCGAGGCGGTCGGGGGCAGCGCCCTGGGCCCCCCGCGGGGCCTCACTGGGGCTCCTCAGGGTGCGTTCTCGACCTGCGCCCCGTTCCGAGCAGGCAAGATCTCGGTTTCTACCGACAGCAACGGCGTTGTTGTAGGTCCCCGGTGCAAGCAAAGTGGATTTGCACCCCCCCGACCCGTCGAGATCTCGGTTTCTACGGACAGCGCGGTAGGACCGTCGACAACGCAACTCTGCCGTCGGAAGGGAGTCCGACGCGCGCGTCGCCGTAGGGCCGTTGTCGGGGCCCCGACGGTGCCAGGGTGATCGGCGCGCCATGTGTCCCAGATGGCCCCAAGAGTCCCTCACGGGCTTTTCATCAGGCCCCGAGAGAGCCCCACGAGGGCCCCAAGAGGGCGCCAGACGGGACCCCACTACCCCCCCAGAAGGGCTCCAAGATGGCCCCAAGAAACCTCCGCCGCACGCGCGCGACGCGATGGTTCGGGCGGATACAAGAATTACACACGATTCGTTCAAGCGTGCGGCAGCCAGATTTTCCTAAGCAAGTCAAGGGCATGTTTCTCGGCCTGTCCCACCTGGCCCGTAACCCCACCTTTCTGCACCTGCGGGGCAAGAGAGCTGGTCGTCACTTCTCCTCGACGCCCGGATGCACGGTGGGTGTCGGCGTTGCCCACGACGCCGGTTGTGGCGACGACGGTTTCAACCACCATGCTGACAACAACTTCGACGACCCCGACCACACCGACAACGGCGACGATCACGACGACGACGAAGACGACGACGACGACGACGACGACGACGACGACGACGACGACGACGACGACATTTGCGACGGCGAAGGGCCTCTGGCCCCGACGGGGCATTCTCGGCCCGCGTCCCGCCTGTCTCACTGAGGGCAGGGGCCGATCAGACGGTCGGGCATCGGCGGCGGCGCGCAGAGTGGTGGCGCACGGGGGGAGGCCATCCACGATGGTTGCTGTTCCGTTAGCGGGGCTCTCACAGTCGGCAAGGAAAACATGTATGAGCATAAATTGTCGACGCTCCGCGCGGATCTCTTGGATCGGATCGGCGCTGGCCCCCCTTGGCAGCGCCTCGGGCGCCGCCGCTGGCGCGCTCCGCGCGCCATGGAGGGGGGTTCCAGCCCCGATCCAAGACATCTGTGCGGGTCTGGCAGACCTGGTCTGCGCCGTTACTTGTTCTTTCAAGAAGGCGTCCAAAAACACGGGGGGCCTCTCAAGAAGCCCTCTGCTTTCTGAGAAGCTAACCCCCCTCGCGCGCACCCCCTTGCGCGCGCCGCCAAGTAAAGAGCGGTCAAAAGACCAGCTCTTTGGCTGACAGTTTAGGTTTATTATTGGCTCGTGATGATCTGCCTTCGATGTTCGCTTGGCCCCTGTCCCTTCAGGACCCCAGAGTCGTGATACTTTGTGCATTGTGGGCCCCGAAAAAGATGTCTACCGACCCAGAGCCGGGAAACAGGCCCCCAGAAGTTGGAATTGGTCGAGCATTTTCCGAGGGGGCTTGGGTCAGCATGGCGATGCCAGCCCGAAACATGTCCCTTTCCACGACAGCAGCCACGACGAGCACCGCGGACCACGGTCTACAGGGCCCACTTCGATCCGGTCGATCCGTTTCGATGCCTATTCTGGCCAGGTGGGTCTGCTTCGATGCACATGCCCGATTGTCCGATGCGGGCCGATCTCTGCATGGCGCCGCTTGCGCATCTTAGCGCGGCCGACCCGAATCGATCCTGGCTCCATGCCGATGCGGCCCGGCCCGATGCACATGCCAGTCCCCCAATCCAGTTGCCCGGTCCGATGCCGGCGGGTCCTGCACGGCCGCAGCGACGGGGGCGCTGGCCGCGGCGGGTTCCCGCGGCGCCCCCCGCGGGCCCCGGAGCGAGGCCTCACTTCGCGAAGCTGTGCAGCTGCCGCCAAGGGCCGGGCTGGCCAGAAAAGGCCCGGGCCGCCCCCCGCGCGCGCGCGCGATCGCAGCGCCGCCGTCCGCCGAGGGGCGGCGAGCCCGGCCGTTCGCCGTCGCAGTGAGGATCGGAGCCAGAGAGAGCGAGAGGGGAGGATCGAGTCAAACGGCTGAGGAGCAGCGAGGACCGCGGCTCGAGGCCGAGGGTCGAGGATCGAAGGCGGGGGGGGGGGGCGCGTCCCGCAGTCGCAGCGAGGATCGAGATTCGAGGATCGCTGCAAAGAGCGAGGATTGCCGTCGCTGCGAGGAGCGAGGACCGCCGCAGTGGCAGGATCGCCGCCCTGACGTCGCCGTCGCGCCCCAGTCGAGGTTCGAGGATCTAGATTCGAGGGTCGAGGTTCAATGATTTGCGTGTTCGTCTGGCTTGGGCCGTTTGGGGCCACTCTTCGGTCTTCCAGAAGCTTCCCAGGACCTCCGCGGACCGTCGGAGACTCCTGGAGACACCCAGAGAGTCCTGGACATCCGACGGCGGCCAGAAATGCGGTACGCCCATGTGCTTGTTGCCTCGGCACGCAATGTTGCGAGCAGATGGCGCGTGCACAAGTCCGAAATTCGGCCACGCGTGCACCACACGCAGAGGGATTCGGAGATACCTGTTGTGCCGCTGTGCCTACGACCAAGTCGGACCGCCAGTGTGGATGTTGCAGTGGAGAGTTGGCATGATCATCTATCTATCATTGTCGTTGCAAGAGTCCGAAGGTCTGTGGTGGCCCAGGAGGCAGCTTCACAGGCCCTGGCCAATTGAATGGCCAGCAGAAGGGAAAGTGTGTCTCCATGGGGCCGAGCTGCTATTCACCAAAGCTTATGACGTCCAGGATGGTTGGCATGAGCTTGTTTTCCTTCTCCCTGACGACCAGAGATCATGGACCGATCATCTCGGGTGCATGGCTCGAGTCATGCAGAGTTGCCCAGAGCACAAGAACTCATCATTTGGGGTCCACGGTGGCGAACATGTTTCAATGTGTTTAGCCTCTCGGACCGGCTCCCGGGGCCTTCAAGATGGGCAGAGTGCCAAGCGAGGTCACAATTTCTCTTGGAAACCGAGGGTCGAGGAGCGTGGACGAGGCTCAACGAGATTCTTGAACGTCTTTGCGAGCCCTGGGGGGTGGTCCCCGCGGCGCCTCTGGCGCCATCAGTGGCGACAGCGCCGCTTCAAGGAATCCGCGCGGACTGACGGAAATGTTTGTGTTTCTGCAGCCTTCTCTTCCTCGAACATTTTCGTGGCGGACATGCCGGAGGACTCCACCTAGTTCATGGCCGCTTGGCGCAGCTCCTGCGTGGGTGGCTCCAGCCGCCGCAGCTACTGCGGGAAGCAGGGCAACCTTGCCTGGCGTCCGCCTCGCTCGCCGCCCTTGCTGGGGCACCCGCGGTGCGCGGCGTGCCACGCGCTGTTCGCTTGACGGGAGTGCTCGCTCGCCAGGGGCTGCCAGAGGTGATCTCGGCTCTGCGGCGATGGGATTTTTGAAGTCCAGGAGTTTTCCTTCGATTTCGGCAACAGAGGCCATTTATCGAGCCTTGGAGGCCACCAATAAATCTGGGGCAATAAATTTGCCCCAGGGAAAGGGTCGGAACCTCTGGGCCCGGGCATTGAAAATGATACAGAACATCAAAATAGTCCGATGTCTTGGATGTCGCCTCTCGCGCCATTTTGGAACCACATAGGGCCTTCTGGGCCTCGCGAAGGTTACTCCCGAGGCCACCCACCCCTCCCTGCCAGGCGCTGGGGTCACCTTGGGCCAGGTTCGCTTCTGTCGGAGGAGGGCCAGTTGTGACAACAGCAGTTCTCCCGACTGGCCCAACTCCGCTCAAAATCAGCTGCCAGGCACACCTCCCTGGGTCCATCCTGACCCGTTCTTCATGGTTGATCCAGCCATAGCGACAAAGCTTCCAGGAGCCGCAAAGGGAGCGAAAGACGCCAGGGATGGCCGCAATTACCTTGATGTAATTATTGGGAGGTTATATTCAACATCGGCGTTGATATATCCGTGGTCGGAAACAGGGATATGCGATATGCAGCAATCCTGAATCCGGCGCACTCTGGTTTGACCCCGAGCTGAATCAGGCCTAATCCGGCTTCATGGTATTTTGATGTGACTGAATAGTTGTTGGTCGCTCTTGCGAAGACCTCTCAGAAGTTGCGTCCTAAACGCACGTCGGCGTGTCGCGGTCCAGTCGCGGGGAGCACCGAGCGTCATGCGGCGCGCGCGGGCCTCCGCCAACCTGCGCGCGCCCGCGAAGCCCGCGCAGGTCGCCCAGGGGTTCAACAAGACGGTGGCGCGCACCCTCGTGCCGCGCGTGGAGATCGGGGCGCAGCGCCCCGCCAGAGGGGGGGGGAGAGGCTCCCTTCGGGCGGGCGGGGGCCCAAAAGGTGCCCTAAACTGCTCCGTTCGGGCCGTTCTCTCCACCCTCCATGGAGGTTACTCCCCCCCCTCACTACCCGCCCGATCCCAAGCATGCTCGCGCCGTGACGAAATCCACGACAGACTGTGTTTCCGAACCATCCTGTGGTGTTGGGTCATCGTTTTGTTCCCAATCATCATGTGGTGCTGGGCCCTCGTTTTGAAGAGAGCGCCCCGCGTTCCTTCCTCTCCAGTTCCTCCCCCTCCTGCCTCCTCCCATCGTCATCCTCACCCACATCATCGTCATCATCAGCGTCAACATCATCATCGTTCTCATCATCACGACCGTCATCATCACCATCAGCGTCATCATCGTCGCCGTCATCATGATAATCACCGCTCACACGTTTCGTGGCCCGATAGGGTGCCCCAAGGAAGGTCCTAGTGCCACCGCCTGCATGCGTCACCCGCACTCGTTTCGCACATCCCTCACACGTTTCGTGCGAGCTCCACCGACGGCTCCAGCGGCTGCGTTCGCATGCGCCCACCGCACCCATTTTGGCACACCCCTCATACGGCTCGCGGCCCCATAAGGGAGCTCCACCGGGCCCCAGTGGTTGCGTTCGCATGCGCCCACCGCACTCATTGTGGCACACCCGTCACACGTTTCGTGGCCCCATAGGGAGCCCCACCGATGGCCCCAGTGGCTGCGTTCGCATGCGCCCACCGCACCCATTTAGGGAGCTCCACCGACAGCCTCAGTGGTTACATTCGCATGCGCCCACCGCACCCATTTTGGCACACCCCCTACACGGTTCGTGGCCCTATAGGGAGCTCCACCGATTGGGTGCGTTCGCATGCGCCCACCGCACCCATTCGGCACCCCCTTTAGACGCTTCGTGGCCACATAGACAGCTCTATCGATGGCTCCAGTGGCTGTTTTCGCGTGCGCCCACCGCACCTGTTTCGGCACACTCATCACATGCTCCGTGGCCTCACAAGGAATTCCACCGACGGCTCCAATGGCTGCGTTCGAATACGCCCACCGCACCCATTTTGGCACACCCCTCACACGTTTCGTGGCCCCATGGGGAGCCCCACCGACGACCCCAGTGGCTGCGTTCGCATGCGCCCACCGCACCCATGTTGGCACACATTCACCGTCCCGCGGCCCCGTAGGAAGCTCCACCGACCGACCCAGCGGCCGTGTCCGCATGCGCCCACCGCGCCCATGTGTTTGGCACACCCCTCACACGTTTCGTGGCCCCATAGGCCATACGGAGCTCAACCGAAAGTCCCAGTGGTTGCGATCGCATGCGCCCACCGCGCCCATTTTTGGCACGCCCTTCACACGTTTCGTGGCCCCGACTGGAGCCCCATCGGCGGCCCCAGTGGCTGCGTTCGCACGCGTCCACCGCACCAATTTTGGCACACCCCGCACACGCACCGTTTCCCCATATGGAACCCCACAGAAGGCGCCAGTGGCTGCGTCCGCACGCGCCCACCGCGCCCATTTTGGCACACCTCTCACGCGTTTCCTGGCCACATAGGCAGCTCCACCGACAGCCCCAATGGCTGCGTTCGCATGCGCCCACCGCACCCATTCTGGCACACCCCTCGCGCGCTTCGTGGCCCCATACGGAGCCCAACCGAAAGTCCCAGTGGTTGCGTTCGCATGCGTCCATCGCACCCGTTTTGGCACACCGTTCACATGCTTGGTGGTTCGCAGGGAGCTCAGCCGACGGGCCCAGTGGCTGCGTTCGCACGCGCCCACCGCAGCCAATTTTGTCACACCCCTTACACGCCCAGTGGCCTCATAGGGAGTTCCACTTACTGCCCCAGCGGCTGCGTTCGCATGCGCCCACTGCGCCCATTGTGGTACATTCACACGGTTCGCGACGTCATAGGGAGTTCCACCGACGGCGTTGGTTGCGTTCGCATGCGCCCACCGCACCTATTCCGGCAGACCCCTCACACGCTTCGTGGCCCCATAGGGGGTTCCACCGACGGCTCCAGTGGCTGCGTTCGCATGCGCCCACCGACGGCGTTGGTTGCGTTCGCATGCGCCCACCGCACCTATTCTGGCACACCCCTCACACGCTTCGTGGCCCCATAGGGGTTCCACCGACGGCTCCAGTGGCTGCGTTCGCATGCGCCCACCGCACCCATGTCCGTACACCCTTCACACGTTTCGTGGCCCTACAGGGATCTCGTCCAAAGTCGGTGCATACAACGACGGAATGCACAACTGCATATGATTGGGTCCTTTGCCTGGCCAATCGAAGAGACAGCGCCCGCGTTCTCCTCCCCCTCGTCGTCCTCCTCCTCTTCCTCCTCCTCCTCCTCCCCCTCCCCCTCTTCCTCCTCTGCTCTTATCTCCTCTCCTCTCCTCTCCTCTCTTCGCCTCTCCTCTCCTCTCTTTTCACCCCCTCTCATCTCCTCGCATCCCCTTCTACCTCCTACCTGCTCTCTCCTCTCATCATCATCCTCATCAACATCACCATCAGCATCAGCAGCATCAACAGCATCATCATCACCGCCATCATCATCACCAGCATCATCAGCATCATCAGCACCATCATCAGCATCAGCACCGTCACCAGCATCAGCATCAGTACCAGCATCGTCATCATCATCATCAGCACCATCATTATTTGTATCACCATTATCATCCTCGTCCTCCTCATCATCATCATCAGCAGCAGCATCAGCATCATCATCATAAGCCTCATCGTCATCAGCATCAGCATCAGCATCGCCATCACAATCATCATCCGCAGTGTCATCGTCAACAGTAGCATCATCACCACCAGCATCATTAGCACCATCATCGTCGTAAGCATCCTCAGCATCATCAACATTATCAGCTTCTACATCATCAACAGCATCGTCATCGTCATCATCAGTATCATCATCATTTTCATCGTCATCGTCATCACCATGTTCAGCGGCATCGTCATCCTCAGCATCATCCTCGTTGTCGTTGTCGTTGTCGCCGTCGTCGCCGTCGTCGTCATCATCGGCATCGTCACCATCATTGTCATCATCGTCGCCGTTGTTGTCACCACCATCGCCACACATGTCAGTGTCCCACAGGGAGCTTCACCGAAGGCCTCGGTAGCGGCGTTCGCATGTGACCCCCCGCACCCCAGTGCAGCGTTTCGTGGCCCCACGAGGAACCCACCGAAGGCCCCAGTGGCGGCGATCGCATGCGTCTCCCCCACCCAGTACAGCGCTTCGTGGCCCCATAGGGAGCTCCACCGAAGGCCCCACTGGCGGTGTTCGCATGCGTCTCCCGGGGAGACGCATGCGAACACCGCCATTGGGGCCTTCGGTGGAGCTCCCTATGGGGCCACGGAACGTTTTGCTGGGTAGGGTGGGGTAGGGGCGCATGCGAACTGGGTGTGGGGACCCCACACCCAGTACAGCGTCTCGTGGCCCCACAGGGGGCTTCACCGAAGGCCCCAGTGGCGGTGTTCGAGTGCGTTCTACCCACTCAGTACATTGTTTCGTGCCCCCATAGGAAGCTCCACCGAAAGCCTCAGCGGCGGTGTTCGCATGCGCCTTCCCCACCCAGTACACCGTTCCGTGGACCGTTAGGAAGTTCCACCAAAGTCCATTTTGGCGGTGATCGCATGCGTCTCCCCCATTCACTATTGCGTTTCGTGGCCCATAGGGAGCATCACCGGAGGCCCCAGTGGCGGTGTCCGTAGCTCCACCGAAGGCCCTAGTGGCGATCTTCGCATGCGCCCCCCCCACCCTACCCGGCAAAACGTTCCGTGGCCTCATAGGGACCTCCACCGAAGGCCACAGTTGCGGTGTTCGCATGCATCTCCCCCAGCCACAACAGCCCTTCGACCCCATAGGGAGCTCCACCGAAAGCCCGAGTGGCGGTGTTCGCACGCGTCCCCTCTAGTCAATACATCGCTTCGTGGCCCTAGGAGGCGCCAACGAAGGCTCCAGTGGCGGTGTCCGCATGCGCCTTCCCCAACCAGTACAGCGCGTCGTGGCCCCATAGGGAGCTCCACCGAAGGCCCCTTTTGCTGTGATCGCATGCATCTCCCCCGCTCTCCGTACAGCGCTTCGTAGTCCCAAAGGAAGCTCCATTGAAGGCCCCAGTGGCGGTGTTCGCATGCGTCGCCTCGAAACGTGTGAGGGGTTTGCCAAAATGGGTGCGGTGGGCGCATGCGAACGCTGGCAGTTGGGCTTTTCTGTAGGGCTCCCTGTGGGGTCACGAAACGTGTGAAAGGTGTGCCAAAATGGGTGCGGTGGGCGAATGCGAACGCTAGCATTTGGGCCTTCGGTGGGCCTCCCTGTGAGTCCACGAAACGTGTGAGGGACGTGCATAAATTGGTGCCGTGGGCGCATGCGAACGGTGCAGTTGGGCCTTCGGTGGGGCTCCATATGGGGCCACGAAGCGTGTGAGGGGTATGCTAGAATGGGTGCGGTGGGCGCACGCGAACTCTGGCATTTGGGCCTTCGCTAGGGCTCCATGTGGGGGCACGAAGCGTGTGAGGGGTGTGCCCAAACGGGTGCGCCCATGACACTTGGGCCGTCGGTTGGTTTCCCTATGGGGCCACGAAACGTGTGAGGGGTGTGCCAAAATGGATGCGGTGGGCGCATGCGAACGCTGGCATGTGGGCCTTCGGTACGGCTCCCTATGGAGCCACGAAGCGTGCGAGGGGTGTGCCAACATGGGTGCGGTGGGCGCATGCGAACGCTGGCATTTGGGTGTTCGGTGGGGCTCCTTGTGGGGCCACGAAGCGTGCGAGGGGTGTGCCAAAATGAGTGCAGCGGGCGCATGCGAACAGTAGCATTTGGGCCTTCGGTGGGGTTCCTGGGGCCCCGAAGCGTGTGAGGTGTGTGCCAGAATGGGCGCGGTGGGCGCATGCGAACGCTGGCATTTAGGCTGTCGGTGGGTGCCCCGAAACGTGTGAGGGGTATGCTAGAATGGGTGCGGTGGGCGCATGCGAACGTTGACCCTTGGGCTTTCGCTAGGGCTCCATGTGGGGGCACGGAGCGTGTGAGAGGTGTGCCCAAATGGTTGATTGGTTCGGAGGGCAGAGGCAGGAATCGGAGGAGGAAGGGAAAGGAGGAGGGGGAAGAGGAAGGAAGGATAACGCGGGGCACCGTCTCTTCAAAACGAGGGCCCAACACCACAGGATGGTTGGGAAAGGGTCAAGCAACCAGATGTCTAGCTCCAGGCCGCTCAAGTGGGCACTCGATCTTCGATATTCGATCCTCCAGTTCGGCGTCTTGCGTCTTTTCGTGGTCGTCTTGGAGGCTTCTCGTCGCCACTGCTGGATTTCGGGGGCCGTTTCGTGAGGAATGGATCACAGGGCCCTCACGATTTCCCATGACTGGGCCTCCCCATCATCCTCTGATGCCCTCTTAACGAAGGCCGCTTGGGCAGTTTGTGGCCGTCTTGGACCTCTCTGTGTCATCTCTGGGGCTTCTTTGGCCGTCTTGCCGTTGGACGCACGGTTGGGGGGGAGGGGAACAACAGACGGGGCGGGAGCGGATCGAGGATTGCAGGAAAGTGGTTCGAAAGGGGCCAAACGACCTCTAAATTCCGCCCCCCGTTTATCATTTGCCCCCCCCCATTCAACAAACGCTCGATTCCGATACTCCGACGATCCGATGTTCGCGTGGCGTTGTGGTGCCGACCCTTTCGATATCGATTCCGTGCCGATGCAGCTCGTTCCGACGCACATTCCGATCCGATGCGATGCTCATTATTCCATAATTGCATTGTGGCCGATCTTGCCTTGTCCTCCCCCCTTTTCATCCCGCCCTCCAGCCTCCTCATTTGGCTGCGGGGGAACGCAGTACTTGCGCACTTGCCCCCCTCCTCTTCTAACCGCCCACCCCCGCCCTTCTTGTCCCCCTCTCCCTTTCCTCCTCTGACCTCCGCTCCCTCTCCCCAGCCCTCCCCTGCTGTCCTTCCCCTCCCTCCCCCCCATCCATGCCTCCTGTCTGACCTCCCCCTCGGGCACACACCCATTCCTCACCCCCTCCGCCCCTCCATGACCGCTCCCCCTGTCCGTCCAGCCTCCCACCGCCCGCTGTCCTTCACAGCTACATTACTGTGAGTACTACGTTCATATGTCCCCTAGTGCAGTGTTCAGTTTCAACCGCTCATCTCGTAAGCCGTTCCGCATGATTTTCCCGAGCTGGTTTTCGACATTGATTTCTTCGGATCAGAGAGCTCTCGGTCTTTGAACAGCGATGCTCGCGCCGCAGCGCTTGCCAAACGTACTGGTATCCGCAGTCGATTCTCTCGGCGTAACGCTGGCCGTACCGGTACATCCGTGAGAGCGGTACGTTTCTATGTATTGTTTATTCGTTTAGTGGTTTCCGTCAATTTTGCGTCCAAGGGAAGGACGCTCTCGTCGTAGCAGTGGCGGTATCAGCGACATTGGTGTTCCCGTTGCAACGGGTGTCACGTGTCTGATGATTTGTTTAACATGTCCGTCAAAAGGTATGGCGTTAACACTGCCTCGCCAGTAGTATTGCATCGGCAGAGGTGGTGTTGCAGTTGTTGCACGCGTCACATCTGTTCTAAGTTGCCTCGTGTATGCCACATCCAGCTCTTGACCCCCAGTGGTTGAGGAGATCTTCGGTCAGAATGCCCGCTCGAGATCTAGGTCCTTCCCAACACCCGACACTGCGAATAGAAAGGTCCGCAATGCAGTGGAGAGGGATGGGAGGGAGGGGTAAGACGTCAGCGCAGGGATGGGATGGGAGTGGAGAGGGATGGGAGTGGAGAGGGAGGGGTAAGACGTCAGCGCAGTGCAGTGGAGAGGGATGGGAGTGGAGAGGGATGGGAGAGAGGGATGTCGCGAGCGCACCTCGTTTGCCCAATCCCCCGGTTCGTCCCCCCTCCCCCCCGCACCCTCTCGCCCCGCTCTCGGCGCTCCCCCCATCCGCCCCCCGCTCGCCCCGTTCCGACCCCTCGGAGGACGGGGAGCCAGAGCAGGATGGGGGAGGGAGGGAAGGAGGGAGGGGATCGAGGAGGGAGGAGAGGAGGAGAAGGAGGAGGAGGAGGAGGAAAAGGAGGAGGAACAGAGGGGGAGGAGGAGGAGAAGGAGGAAGAGGAGGAGGAAGAGAAGAGGAGGAGGAGGAGGAGGGGAGGAGAGATGATGAGTTGAGAGAGGAGGGAGGAGGAGGAGGAGGAGGAGGAGGAGGAGGAGGAGGAGAGAAGGAATTGGAGGAGAAGGAGAAAGAGGAGGAGGAGGAGGAGGTGGAGGAGGAGGAGGAGGTGGAGGAGGAGGGAGGAGGAGGAGGAGGAGAAGGAAGAGGAGGATCAGGAGGAGGAAGAGGAGGAGAACCTGGAGGAGGAGAAAGGAGGAAGGAGGAGGAGGAGGCGGAGGAGGAGGAGGGAGGAGAAGGAGGAGGAGGAGGAGACGTGAAGAGGGACAAGGAGGGAGGAGGAGGATATCCAGGAGGGAGACCAAGCCTCCAGCATGGCGTGCGCTCGCCAAGCTTGAACCCCCCCCACACACACACACACACACACACACACACACACACACACACACACACACACACACACACACACACACACACACACACACACACACACACACACACACACACGTACACACACACACACACACACACGTACACACACACACACACGCACGTACACACACACACACGTACACACACACACCCACACACACACGTACAATCACACACACACACACGCACACACACACACGAACACACACACACACACGCGCGCACACACACAGACACACAGACACACAGACACACAGACACACAGACACACAGACACACAGACACACACACACACACAGACACACAGACACACAGACACACAGACACACACACACACACAGACACACACACACACACACATACACACACACGCACGCACGCACGCACGCACGCACTTACCCACGCACGCGCAAGCGCGCACACACACAGACACACAGACACACACAATCCTTCTCGTGCTCCACCCCCTTCCATCTCCTCTCCCGCCCTCCCTCGCCCTCCATCCCTCCTCCCTCGCCCTACCTTGCCCTCCATCTCCCTCCCTCACCCTCCCTCCCTTCCGCCTGCCCTCGCCCCCCTCTCCCTCCCCCGCCCTCCCTCGCCCTCCCTCCCTCCTCCCCCGTCCTCCACGCACACCATCTCTCGCCCTCCCCTTCCCCCCCCCCCGCCCCTTCCCACCACCGCGGCCGGCAGGCCGCGGGCGCTGGCTGCAGCCCCGAGCACGACGGCGCGGCCCCCCCACGCCCCAGCCCAGGGGCCTCCCCCCCTCTGCCGCTCCCCGCGCCCCGCCCGCGGCCTGCAGCCAGCGGGCGTCTCCGGACAGGGGGAGCGAACGCGCCTCTCCACCCCTTGCGGCCGGACCGAAGTTTAAATCGGCGAGTCGAGGGAGGTGGGGGAGGTGAGGAGGAGAAGACCTTCTCAGAGGGCAGGGGGGGACTTCTCAGACGCCCCTGCGACTTGTGAAAAGGTGTCTGCGTCTTCGGGGAAGACTTCGAACACTTCTCCGAAGGCCGTGGGACCTCCGAGCCTTCTGAGAAGGCCCGCCCCTCCTCGCTTCCCCCCCTGGTCGGACCGAGGCGTAAGATCGAGGTTGGTTCGGGGAGGGTGCCCTAATCTTCTTCGTGCGTGTTGGATGTTCTTGTGCATCCTGGGGGAGGGTACCCACGAATGTTCTTCAGTGTGGCTGGCGGCCGCACCTAGCCCCCATGCCCCTCTGGGGCTGGGCCACAGAGCTTCGGCGAGAGGTGCAACGAGCAGAGACCCCGGGTGGCGGCCAATCTGGACCAGGGTCAGGCCGACCTTTCTCCAAGGGGACCATTGGCGGCACCTTGCGCGCAGTGCCTCTCTCCACTTGGTCCACGCACGCGTCAAACAGCGAGGCGGGGGGGGGCCCTTCTGCTCCCCTGCAAGGAGGGGGGCGGGGACTGCGCTGAGCTCCTCGAATCGGGGGTCGAGGCTGGGGGATCGAGGTTTGGGGGAGCTTCTGGCATCTGATGTTCCGGCCTCCTCGTCGCATCCGGGGGGAACGGCGGCGGGAGGCGCCGCATGCAGCTGAGTTCCTTCGCCTACGCCGCCCCGCACTCCCCCTGACACGTGGGCGCCCCCGGCGCTGGGAGGCCCCCTTTAAAAGCCAGCTGCGCGCAGCCGATTCGCGGACCCCCGCGCCCGCTCTTCGGCGCGCCCTGTGCGAGGGGGGGGGGCGGGCGGCTGGCGGCATTCTGGGGGAACGCGACTGCCCCAGGCGGCTGCGGTGGCGGCAGCGGAGGAGAAGGAGGAGGAGGAGGAGGAGAATCGCGACGCCCGGATCTCAGAGTATCAGGGGCAGCGATGAAGGGGGGGATTAATTCAGGGGAAAGCGCATCGACCCCCAAACGCCCATTCATCGCCGATGGGGGCCTTGACATTCAAATTCCCCCGCCCAGGAACGTTCGGATTTCCTGTCGAGAGCCCATCGCCGATCTATCGGCGATGCACCGACGATTATAGGTCGATGTCTCACCCTGGCGCCAGTGCCCCCCCCTCTTTGCCCTTCAGGGAATCCCTGTCTTCCTGGCCCCTCTCTGGTGGGGGGCGGGGGCGGCAGCGCAGCAAGCGTTGACCAGTGGCAAGCCCCAGATGGCGTTCATGCAATGCGATTGCACCAAGCCGTGCCCACAGAAACCTCGTCGTCAGGCAATAGTTGATCGATCGGCTGGTTGATATTGATCCATCGGTCGTGGAGAGTGGGCAAATTTTGGGAATCCCAGATGCCAATACAGCTTGGGCTTTAAGCGCCTTCCTACTCCAAGAGTCGATCGTGTTTCCCTCTTCCCTCATGTTCAGGGCGCTGGCGGAAGCCCAACCTACACTCAGCGCCTTCACCATTTCATGTGGCTGCCAACTTCTGCCGACACCGATGCGTGCCCTCACCTTCCAGCGGTGGGGGGACGGGGGCGGCGGCGCGCGGGACGACTGGCCGGGGCCGCGCAGGCGAGTGGACCCCGTGCGCGGTCGGCCGCCCGCTGCGCTTTCGGGGGCCAGCTGCGACGACGGCGAGATCGACGACGTCGACGGCGGCGACGACGGCGGCGACGGGATCGACGACGGCAAGGTCGACGACGGCGTCGGCGGCGGCTGCGACGACGACTACAAGGATGACGAGGGAGAGGAGGAGGAGGAGGAGGAGGAGGAGGAGGAGGAGGAGAAGGAGGAGGGGGAAGGAGGAGATGGAGGAACGCAAAGAGGAGGAGAGGGAGGAGGAGGATGAGGAGGAGGAGGAGGAGGAGACGAAGGAGGAAGAGGGGAGGCAGCGGAAGGCCGCGAGAACCTGACAGCACGCTGGCATAGTCGGACGGCTGGCGACGTCTCCTAGGGATGCATGTGTTCAGGAGTCTGGGAGCGGGCCAGGTACTCCTCATCAGAAGTTCTAGCAATCCAAGAATGTGGTGCACGGGTTGTGCTCGCGCCGGTGTTTCACAGCGTTGCAATTGCATGGTGGAGGGTTCGTTTGAGTCCACGTTAGTTTGTGTAAGCAGATTTCACCCACTCACCCATTGAACATACTCCAGGTATCTTTATTGTTGTCGATCATAGCTCATACACAGTTTGTGTACCAATTTGCGTTCAGACTAGGCTGGTTCAGGTTTCCAAGCGCGAACCCTTGACCAACCGGCCAATTCGGCGTTCTTTGGCAATATTGAGCATCGCCGTGTGGATGTTCCGTTGGGTATTATTCATCTCTGTGTTAATCCGACCTGTTACATGTAGCCGTTTTGCGGGTGCGGGTGTGGTATTTGATGCGGACGTTCAGAATATTTGCGTTCAGGAGTACCAGAGTTAACAGTGTTGTTTCTCTGACCCAGTGCATGGTAAAGTGTCGTCGAGGGTCAAGGTTGCGTGCGGGTAGTTCTATGCACATCATATTTATGTAATGCCGCAGGCCTGTTGCAATATTACGTCATTTCCGATGGAAAAAAGGTGCCGTTTAGTTTACACGAATTTGTACGTGAGAGTGTCAAGGCAAATTGTTCGTTAAAGGCTCGATGATCAGTCTTCGTTGCGTCATCAGAAGATCTTCCCGCGCTTATTGTTGCACGAATCAGCTTTGACTGTCGGCAAAAACCATTGTTCGTTGTACGGCATGGTGAGTCTGAGGCAAACCTTGAAATTGAGCGAAGAGGCCTTGCTGGGTAAATGAAGGTGTTGTCGCCAGCCATGCGTGAGCAGTATCGTGATCCCCGCTCACTCTGGAAGGTGCGTATGCAGATCGGTTCCATCTGCTTTACTCTACTGTGAACAAGTGTCATGGGAAAGCACAAGCTTACCTATCTTCGCCACTTACAACTTACGCGCGCAGTGAAAACTGCAACTATAGGTTTTCAGGACGAGCTCACCGGAGGACGAGAACTTGGAATGCTCCCGATTGTGAGAGAACAGAAGAAGTCATGGTCGAGTTCGGCGATCAAGGGAGAATGTATACCGGAAGCGATCAAACTTGTCAAAATGCAAGTACTGAGCACCATGTCAATGAGAAGTTCCAAGAGTTGACGGGACTCTATCCACAGGCAGACGCGCCTATGTCCGCATCATTGAAGATGCTAACAGCATTGATGGATAAATTTCCGAGGATCCACCTTCAGGTGACAGCAACCATGACGTCGTGGAACGCGAGTTTTCTGCCTAATGACCAATTCGACAGGGGGCGAATGATGTCCTGGCTGAACGCGTGCCAAGAGTGGTGGGACGGGGAGTCGGTGGATTGGTCTGAGACTGCACGTATCTTGGACGTTGCAAGTTTCCTCGGGTTAAGGCCCGAGGCGTCCTTGGTCTTGGTAGGGCACTCCTCGTTCTGGCGAGGCTACTTCGATCACTTCATCGACAAGGACCGTTTCCTGTATCTCGAATCTGGCGTTGATTCTGACAACGTGCAGCGGCGGTCGCTTGCGAAGTTTCTCCGGCGAGCGAAATTTGAAAATGCGGCGATGGTGAAGGTTACACCATGGATTTTGTTGTCGAGGTTGGTCCGTGCGATTCAGTGGTTGACGTCGAGCCGTTGGACACAAGTTTCCTAACGGAAGGGACAGTAAGTTCACCCAGTGTGATATCACACAGTAGGCATTTTCAAACACATGCTGTTCACAGACAACAAATTCCGATTGATTGCGTTGTGAAATCATTTCTTTCCTTCGCTCACAGGTTGCAAGCTTCAGACTGTGACGTTGAGGACGAGCAGCGTGCGTCGCCTGCGGCTCACTCCAGACCACGTGGAACTCACTGACATACTGCATGTTCTGTACACAGTTACACCGCATCCTAAAGGAAAGGTAATTCTATACGCTTCGCGTATCCCCACCAGTTCCGTAGCCATTTTGGTTCATGATGCCGTCCGCGGTCGACGGCTTGCCGGCCCCGCCGTTGCGCCGCCTCCCCAGACACGCCTTCGTGCGTTGGCCTCTCGAATTTTGGTCATTTTGTTCAGTGCACGTGCCCGCGCTTGCAGTCTGTCCGCCAACTCTGGCTGGCAGCGCACTGCATTGCGAATTAGCCTCGCCCGTGGCCCGGACGTCGCCTTTGCCTCCTGACATTCGTCTTGGGGCCGCTGACCAAAAAAGTATCCCCCCGGCCCATCCAGAAACGACGTCCAGGCGAGTAGAGGGCCGTCCTGAGGGGCTTTTCGGCGTCTTGGGTCCCTCGGGGGGCCTCTTTGGGCCGCTTGGGATCCTCTTGGGGGCCTCCTGGGGGCCTCTTGGGGCCTCTTGGGGCCATCTTGGGGCCTCTTGGGGCCTCCTGGGCGCTTCTTGGGGCCATCTTGGAGGACATCGATCAAAGAAGAGGGGAGCTTCAATTAGGATTGCCCCCTCAGGAGGCCAACATGAGGCCAAAACTCTAGTAAAATTAATGATTTTGGCTTCCTCGCCGAGGCCGTTTTGGACGCTCTGACCGCTCGCGGCCCCCCCCGTCCAGGTCCACGGGGAGGGGATAGGGGGAGGGGTAAACCCCTCCCCGAAGGGGAAGAGGGAGGGGTGGAAGAGGAAACGCCCTAAACCACCGACGCCCAGAGGGCTGGTGGGATTTTCTAATGGTACCCTTGCATCCTTGCCTTTCGGCACATCTTAGCCCTGGATTGCAGCTACACGAAGTCATGTTTGGCGGGCCATCCCAGTGGCCTCTTGGGACCAACATGGTGAGTTATCGGGACCCTCTGGGTCCGTCTGGGGGGCAACCTGGGGCCGTCGTGGGCCATCATGATCACGCGGGGCCTCCTTGGGAGCCTGTCCAGAAGGCACTTGGGCTTTCTTGGCAGCATGGCGGCGTTGCAAACGTTTTTGCCCCCAAACAGTATTTGCATGCAGGGATTATTGTTGTTCTTCGAACGGAATTGGACGGGTGCGTCGAGGATTACCAATTTTCTAGCCCGTTGCCGTCCGTCGCGGCCCGTTGTTGCTTGTGTGGGCGTGTCGAGGATTCGCCACGTTCCTGCCCGTCGCCGCACGTTGCCGCTTGTGTGGCTGCGTTCAGGAATCGCCACGTTGCCGCACGTTGCCGCTTGAGGGGGCGTGTCGTGGATTCGCCACATTCCAACCCGTTGCCGCCCGGTAGTTTGCATCACTTATCTTTCGTACAATCTATTGTGTGGGGGGCCACGCTGGCTAACAGTGGGGCAAGCTGCGGCGCCGATTATTCCGCTGCATACGGCAAGTCCTGCCACCGTGCAAGCGCAGCATTCTGTGCGGCGACATTGCAAGCACCGACCTTTGGCGAGTTTGGGTGCCTTCTTGGAAGCCTCTTGGGGCCATCTTGGGCGCCTTCGGGTGATCTTTGGGCGCATCGAGGCCCTCTTGGACCGTCCTGGGAGCCTCTTGAAGCCCTCTTGGCCCGTCTTGGGGCCCTCTGGGGCCAGACAAATTCATGACGCTTGGCGTATCCCCACCAGCCCATCCGGAAACGACGCCCAGTAGAGGTGATCATGGAGGTGTAAGCGCAAAGAGGAGTGCAGCCGTTATCGTTCGAAGGAGGCGGAAGAAGAGGAGGAGGATCGATGAGGGAGGGCGGAAGATGAGGAGGAGGGGTAAGTGGATGAGGAGTCGAAGGAGGAGGAGTTGGAGGAGAAGGAGGGGGGAGGATGAGGAGGAACAGGGCGGACAGAAGAGCGAGAAGCCGTTTGAATGCTTCTCGGAGATGAGCCAGGAGCCTCTTAAATGCTTCTCCGAGTCTCCTCCTTGAATGTATATTGGACGCTTTGTGGAAACCTCTTGGGGTGTCTGGAGGGGGGGGGGGCATCTTGGCGGGCCCGAGGTGGTCTTTGAGGGTGCCTCGGGGCTCTTCTTGAGGCCTCGTAAGGATCTCTTGGGAGCCGTCTGGAGTCCTCTTGGAGGCCCCTTTGAGCCGTCTGGGCGCCTCTTGGGGCCCCCTTGGGGGGGGTCCATATTCAGAGCTTCAGGGCCGCTCCTGGGGCCATCTTGGGGGACATCGATCAACAACGCGGGGAGTTTTAATCAGCGTTGCCCCTCGGGAGCCCCGAGCCTCGTCTATTGGTGCGCTCTTGGGGCGCCCTTGGGCCGATCTTGCGCAATCTTGGGGCCGTCTTGGGGCGCTGATTGGCCTCTCCTGGGGCCATCTTTGAGCCATCGTGAGGCCTCGGACGGCCATCGAAAGCAAAAGGACGACGATACACATCGATGTATTCTGGTTGTTGAAGGGCGCGTCTTTCTTGGGTGCCTCCTTGGGGGTCTCAAATGCTTTTTGAAGCCGCCTTGGGGCGGTCTTGGGGCCCCAGGGAGCATCTTGGGAGCCATCTTGAGGCATCTTGCGCTATCTTGAGCCATCTTGGAGGTCATATTGGGCTCTCCGAGGCGCTCACGGAGCCATGTTGGGCCACCTTGGACGCTCTAACTGACCGCGGGACGCCCCGTCCAGATCAAGGGGAGGGGGTAGGGGGAGGGGCCAAGACACCACCTAGACAGCAAGCCGTCTAGTTCACTTCCACCCGCCCTCCCAACACATAAGCAAC